AATTCTATCCCTTATTACTTTATGTACATATTTAGTTATTTATTTAGTTTTGGGTGGGCACACCTGGAAGTTCTCAAGGATTACTCGGGCTCTGTGCTCCGGGAATACGACTAGAGGTGCTTAGAGAACTATATGCAGTTCCAGAGATCAAACTCAGAGTTGGCAGTATGTAAGGCAAGTGCCTTAGTCCCTGTAATATCTCTCCGGTCTCATATGCTTGTATTTATAGTACATCTTCTTCAACTGGAATATCAGGGGAGAGCCAGGGGCCAGCCGACTTTTCTGGGAAGAGTCAGCTCAAAACTGTAAGATGAGACGACAGCCACTGAAACAAAAACCAGAATGGTATCAGGTATAGTCAAAAGGATGCCTAGAGGGCACATCTCTAGAGAGAAAGCTCCAAGGATTGGAGTGTAGGCCTGGGTGTCAATCCCCCAGTTGGCCTCCTGAGCATTCTGATGTAGCCCTGGTGCCCTCCCCCCCCCAGAACTGCTGGGGTAGTCTTTAAAAAAAGATCAAACCAACCAACCAAGCAAAATATCTAGAACTTCTGGTGTCTGGAAGATAGGAAATGAATGGGGATATTTAGCCTTGGGTGATGAGAAGAGGAGGGAAGACACACTAATGCTATTTTCCAGGTGCATGGTAGGGGGATGACAGTTGACAGACTGGGGTTCCGGGTACTCTTCGCTTTTTGTAGTTAAGCGATTGTTGGATATTCACTGTCTTCCCCATCAATGTCTAAGTGCTATGAGAGTTACCATGTAGTATAACTTGATTTCACTCTATACAGCATCGTGCATGGTATGCTTGTCCATTAATTGATTGCATGCTGTGTGCATGGATTTCAATTATAAGTCACAAGTTGCCACTCTCCCTTATTTTTGTTTTGGGCCACACAAAGTGATGCTCTGGGGTTACTCCTGGCTCTATACTCATAAATTACTCCTACTAGTGCTCGGTGGACCATATGGGGTGCTGAGGATTGAACCTGTGTGGGCTGTGTGCAAGACAAACCCATTACCCACTGTACTATAGCTATGGCCCCTCTCCCTATTTTTAATACTCACTCCTCCTTCACATGGTTGACACTTTGCTTACTCTTGAAGTCTAAGCTTAAATGTCACTTTGCCATCACTACCACCAGGTCCAAGAACCCTTTTCATAGTCTCTCAAAGCTTTCATCATAGTCATTGTTTAGTTTTTGGCGCCACATCCAACAGTACTCAGGGTCTATCTCTGGCTCTGTGTTGAGAGTGACCCTTGGAAGTGCTCAGGGAACTGTATATGGTGCTGAGAATTTGAGCCAGGATTGGTGGGATGCAAGTCAAATACCTTAAACCCTGTACTATCTCTGGGCTCCTCTTTTTTTGCCTTTGGGGAAACACCCAGTGATGCTTGAAAGCCACTATGAGTTCTGTGTTCAGAAATTGATCTCATAGGGCCTGAGGGACCATATGATGCAGGCACTGAACCAGGTCTTCCTTACATATAGCATGCTTTGCATATGCTCAGCCTTTTAAGCTATCACTCCAGGCCCTCATCAGAGTTTTTATGATTATTGTAGTTGCTTTTATGCGCAGATTGATTCGTTTACATATTTCCCAGTTTTTCTTGCAGGCAAGGCTCCCCAAAGTCCCATGAGCTAGCTATCAGTATCTCCCGTAAGATATACTGCATAGGGAGTTGTGTGCTGCTATGTCCATTGGGTGAGGCCCAAAGTCAGCATTCAAATATTTCCCGAATGAATTAACTTTACAGCAAGGAAAGAGGAAGGGCTTAAGAGCCAGCATTGTGCAATAAGCAAAGAGAGATTCAGTTTGAACCTAGGTCTGCATGAGTCCAGATCCTGACTTCCTTCTGCTCCATCAAACCTTGTGGGCAGAGTTACTCTGAAGAATCCTAAGTACTGCCTTAAGAGATGTTCCCCTTGGAGAAAACATTGGAAAGCACAATGTAAAGGCATGTGCTGGTGATGTTGCCTTGCCCATGAACTCTGGGACACACAGCATGAGGCTGAATTTTCCTGCCAGAGGAATTCATGTCCTGCGGCCACAAGTGGGAGGCAAATGGAGGAAAGGCACTGAGAACACACGCTCTGCTCTGGGCTGTTGATAAGTAGATGGTGGTCAGCAGGATGACCTCATTTATCTGTGGCATAGAGAATGACAGGACAAGGAAAAGCAAGGTATCAAAGGCGAGGTACACTTAGATTACCCTTGACCCTTATTGAAAGGAGAATGACCTGGAAGGAAAGAAATTGAGTGGGGGAAGTAAGAAGAGGTGGATGGGAGGTGACGGGGGCAGGAAGCCGGAACCTTGGGCACACTGGTGGTGTAGAGGTGAGTATTTGTCTATATCTAAACCACAGAATGAACAACAGGGAAAACAAGAGACGAAAACTACAATAACCAAACTGAAAAATCCTGCCTGGTACCCAGTCAGGCTGGGGGGTAAGAGGGAACCTGGGGACATTAGCGGAGGGAAGTTCAAACTGGGGGTAGTATGGGTGTCGGAACACAGTATGCCTGAAACTATTATGAATATTATAAAGCACGATGGGCTGGAGCGATAGCACAGCAGGTAGGGCATTTGCCTTGCATGCGGCCGACCTGGGTTCTATTCCTTTGTTCCTCTCGGAGAGCCCGGCAAGCTACCGAGAGTATCCCGCCCGCATAGCAGAGCCTTGCAAACTCCCTGTGGCGTATTCGATTTGCCAAAAACAGTAACAAGTCTCACAATGGAGACGTAATTGGTGCTGGCTCTAGCAAATTGATGAACAACAGGAGGACAGTGCTACAGTGCTATAAATCATGGTGCCTTAACTAAAAAAAAAAAAAATCTTTTTTTTTTGTTTGTTTTCTGGCCATACCCGGTTGGGCTCAGGACTTACTCCTGGCTCTGTAATCATAGATCACTATTGGCAGGCGGTGGAAACCATATAGGGTTGCAGGGATCAAACCCAGGTTGGTCACATGGAAGACAAGTACCCTACCCATTATATTTTCACTCTGCCCCCTACATGTTTTTAAATAAAAAAAGAATTCAGAAGCTCCCTTCATCCCCCTCTAGTTATACTCAGGATGTTGTGGCTGTCAGTAGCCACTGGAGTTGGCAGAGCAGTGGACATCCTGATTCTGGATTCTGGAGTCACACTCAATTTAAATACTGCCTGTCACTTACTACCTGTGACACCTTGTCTGGGCAGTACTTTCCTTACCTGTGAAATAATATACCTTCCCAGTATGATTAAGTGAAAATGCAAGATAAAAGAATGCCTCAGGGTCCAGAGAGATAGTCCAGTGGGAAAGGCACTTGCCTTACATCCCTTCAAACCTGGTTCAATCCCCTGAGTACCATCAGGGTCACCCCTGAGCACAAAGCAGGAACAGGTGTGGCCCAACCCCGAAAAGGAAAAACAATAAAAAATACCTTCGATGCATATTACCTGTACCTGAAAATGGGCTCGAAAAATGTGAACTATTGCTATAGTTTTTTTAATTGAAGTAACATTGCATTATGTCATCTAAGTTTCAGGGGTACACCAGTAAAAACCAACACATCTACACTGTGTTTCTAATGATCTTTTTTTTTGCTTTTTGGGTCACACCCGGAGATGCTCAGGGGTTACTCCTGGCTCTGCGCTCAGAAATTACCCCTGGCGGTGCTCAGGGGACCATATGGGATGCTAGGAATTGAACCCAGGTCGGCCGCGTGCAAGGCAAACGCCCTACTTGCTGTGCTATTGCTCCAGCCCCCTCTAATGATTTTCAAACTTCACCCTTCTCCCTACATTATCTGTGTAGGGTGTTCCCTAGTAAGAGAAGTGAAAACCCATTTCAACTCCTTCCACTCTTGCATTGAGTCACGTTCATAAATGTACTCACTGGACTTTAATGTAGGGGTGTGTTTCAAGTGGCGTATTACATATGGTAGGCCCTGGTTCAATCTCAAGTGGCGTATTACATATGGTAGGCCCTTGTTCAATCCCTGCAATGCCTACACACCCTCCCTGCCAGAGGGTATGGTCCTTGTAGCCCCTAGCACCATGGAGAATGCTTCCCTCAAGCACTGAAAAAAGAAAATTGAGGGTTTTGTGGTGAATCAACAATCACCATGCCTCTCACTGGATCACGGACAAGAATGCAGGAGTGGCTGACCATGCAATACAATGTCACTATTAGACTATACAAAGCTGCTGTCAGCCAAGTTACTTACACAACTTTTCAGATTCGAAAAACAAATCTTGTTTCTTTTGGGCAGGGGGCACACCTGGAGGTGCTGAGTCCTTACTCTTGGCTCTGTGATCAGATGTCACTTTTTTTTTCTTTTTGGGTTACATCTGGTGATGCTCAGGGGTTACTCCTGGCAGTGCTCAGGGGACCATATGGGATGGTGGGAATCAAATCCGTGTTGGCCGCATGCAAGGCAAAGCCCTACCTGCTGTGCTATTGCTCCAGCCCCTCAGATGTCACTTCTGGTGGTGCTTTGGGGGATCATATGCAGTGCTGGGAATTGAACCGGGGTCCACCACATGGAAGGTAAGTGCCTTACCCCTGTTCTATTTCTCTGGACCCAGAAAGGTCTATCTTTAGCTGAGAGGCAGGGCTGTATCTGTATTCATGCTCTCAACTAAACCTGAACGTTTGCCTTTCTACCTAAGTGAATACAGAGCTTACTACATGCCCATATAATGGAACTAACATTTTCATGACCCTGCCTATTACTGAGTTAACAGGCTACCAATCAATGTAACAGAATTTCATGGCTTTGAACAGCATTTCTTAAATGGCCCAATTATGACCATAAGTAAATATATCCAGCCTTCTACACAAGCACCAGAAATTTGCCACCCCGTAAGTTAAGTTTTGTTAGGTTTCTCTGTTTGTTTCTTTTTAAACATCAGTTTCCCCTCTCCCAGTAGGCATATAGGTAGAAAAATAAATGAAGTCAGCACTCTTTACTTCTCACTAGAATAAACTCTGACTCAAAGACAGTGAGTGGTTATATGCAAGGCTATAATTTTTTTAATGATAGATTTTCCTAAAAGAAACCACTAGAACATCTGTCCAAGTACTCCAAGGGAAAACAAAAAAAAATACATAAAGAGTAAAAGTCTATTATTTTAACAGCACACTGCCAAACACGGGCAACTAGGAAAAAATGCCAAGAAACCTTAAAAAATAACTTAAAAAGATGACAAGTCACTCAAACATACGGGGTTCACAAACAACAGGAAAACAAGTTCGAGAGGAGTTCTACTTTAGCCAGGCTCATTCAGGTGTCTACACCGGTGGATTTATGAACGGAACTCATTGTTTTATTCACTTTGGAGATGTGCACACACATTAGAGGGGAGGAGAATCTTCCAGATGCTGATGTAAGCACGGCAGGCTTGGTTTCCCTTTGATAGAGTACGAAGGCAGATTTAGTTGACTCAAGCTTGATCAGTTTTCCTACAGAAAAAAAAAGTCTCATGCATGCTGAAACAGAGTTACTGAATTGGTCATGCGAAATATTTACAGCCGTTTTCATCAAGTGAGTGCAGTCACCTGACAGATTAAAAAAATGTAGTTGTTAATTTTCTGTATGATCTTTTACAACTGGAAATAACTTGGTGGGTAAATGACACTGAAGTTCAAAACACCTCAGACAGACATTAACAAGAACTTATTGACTGCGTGAAGAGGCACATAAGCATATAAAATGCACACCTCACCGGGTTCCTGCATGGCAGGAAAGTTGCTACCTCTACATAACAAATGGCTATGTCAACAGTTAGAGCTGCCACTCATGGGTATTAACAACAGAGGCCCCTTAGAATCTCAAGGAGTGTTTGCAACAGCACAAATTCCTCGGGGGAGAATCAGTACATCATTTGTTTGGAAAGGTATTTTTCATGGGAAAATTTGCACATCATAGAAATATATCCATTTCGAATTGGATTAAGATTTAAGGCAATGCTATCTCAGACCTGAAGGGTGGGGGAGAAACCCACTGAAGTTTCCATTTTTTCTTTTGAAATATCATCACACCAGCATCAACATTAAAAAGTCTCCCCCTTTCAAACCTTTGAGTATTTTCAGCGTTACAAAACAGAACCCACTTTCATACCCTGAATATGAAATATGAAATGGTAAGCTGTTATGTACTCTTCCTTGAAAACTGTAAAAAACAACAACCACCCAATCACATGGCAGCTTAGCTATTCAGTATTTTTTAAAAAGCAACATGAAGACCAAGACGACTGCACCCAATATACTCAGGGAAACCAGTGCCTTTACAACAATTGTGCAGAGCACCGTTTCTCTTGACTGGTGTAGTGTGGGGCAATGAATCTCATAAATTAACTTTGAATATCAGCTACAGACTAACAAATTGACATTAGACACAGTAAGTTCAAAATTTTTCCATTTTGCTCCTGTTTGGCTGCTGAAGAGCAGCGATTTAAGTTGATATAAAAACCTAAGACCACAAAGCTTGCTATACAGATAAAGTACAAAAATCAAATGGAAGCAGCAATTGCATCTCTTTCTTCAAACCTATCTGCTGTGGAGTATTTACAGAGTTGGGAAGGGAGTTCTCTGACATCACCATTCTCTTTCCAACTTGCCCGCCCCAGTCTCTCCAAATGGAAATCAAGTGTCTTGAACCCTACGGGCCTGTCCTTTGGCTTAGCTTACAGGCTGTGACTCCTAGTTGTCTTGGAAGTCATTTGCAGCCTTCCTTTCCAAACAGCAGCATGCTGGAGTCAACCAATCTGCCTGTGCCTATAAAGTGGGGTGGGGTGGGGGGGGAGGCCGTGGTGCCACTCCACCCCTCAATCTGAATGTGGCAAGATCGGAATGCCATGAGCCTCGGTGCCACCACAGGCCACCAGAGATAAAGCAAAGAAAAAGGTCACGACAACAAAAGGCAGCAGCAATCAACCTAAGTTTCCCAGTAAAGGAACCTCTCTCTCCTCCCTGGGCTCCCGCAGAAATTACATTCCTTCCTTTCTCTCCCTCTCCTCCCACAGGACAAAAAAAATCACATCACAAGGACTTGGTACTCTGGTTAAGTGTCAGTAAATATAAGAAAGATTAAGTTTGCTGTGATTTTTTTTTATATTTTAACTGAGACATAAAGTTAACAGAACACACAACATCACTCTGAAAAGAACTTTCTAAAACAGATCCCATCTACATAGTGCAGCCAGTCAAACATGAAAGGAGAGTTGCTCACAATCTGCCTTGTACAGGATATTAATATTCTTCCAATGCCACATAAAGAGCATGTATATAGCTTTAACATTCAGAGACATGCACTGGGACTTGTTAGGTAGTACAAATTTCTTCACAATCACATGTGCAAAGTTTACAAATCACTAAAGTGTGCGTTAATAAGCTTAGGCTGGACTGTGTCTTGTATTATCTAATAAATTCAACGGGGGTTCAGAATCATCCATAGGAAGAACTAGGCGTGTTCCCCGAATGACCAGTTCATGGTCCCCGAAAGTGAGCTCCCGATCCAAAGCATCTTCAGAACTGTTGCCCAAAAATCTCCTAGGGGCGCTGGATGTTGCTGGGTCTGTGTTCACAGTAGAGTCTCCGTACGTGAGACTAATGTCACCATCGTTGAGAATGAGATCCGAGTCATCGTCTTTCAGTTGTTCCTGGTTCTAAATGGGAAGGAAATAAGTTTGAAGAAATGTGAAGAAATTCAAGCAACGTTTCCCACAGGAGAAATGGAAAAGGGTCCCCATTTCCAACCCTAAGTGGGCGCCCACTGCTGTTCTCAGAACCAAGTCTAAGATCCTTTCTTTGGCTTAAGAGACCTTTGGGAACTGGACCTCTTAGCCTTGTCTGCTGCCGTGACCTACTTCTCCTGCCTTGGTAAGCCCAATGTGTGCCAACCACACCGAACTGCTGATGGCTGCCTGCTTCCTGCATGCCTCTTTTACCTCCCAGCCACTCGGCCTGCATGCATTGGACGAAGCCTACCACTCACTGATCGTGGCTTAAGAGTCATCTTCTTGAACCATCCTTGCAACCCTGGAATAAATTCCATTTGATGGTGGTAGATAATGTTGGTGAATTCAGTTCGCCAAGAATTTGTTTTAAAACTTATTTGTGATGTAGTTGTTTCAGGCATTCTATATTCCACTGTCAATCCTACCACCGGTGTGATCTTTCCTCCACTGATGTCCCCAGTTCCTCACCCACTGCCCAGGCCTGCTCCTTTAGCAGACACAAAAAAATATTCACTTCACATTGCTTGTTACAAAACAAAGGCAACTGGAATTTTTCAAAGAATTAATCAATAAAAGTCAATTTGTCCTAATTCTTAATCTCAAATAAAAAATGACCGTTTCCAGGAGTTTTCTGGACTTCCTTGATCTGGTAAGACTAACTCGGGGGTCCCTCCCATGCATGGCCCTCCTCACACCCCACACTGGTCTCTCTTCCAAGTAACACTCTCGTGTTACATCTCGCATATGCATGGGGCTACTGTGCAAATCTTCTGCTACCACACTACGTACCTTCTATACAGTTTGAGGCACATAAAAAGTTTTCACCAAATGTAAGGGAATAATTGTATTATTCATTTTTGAAGTGTTTTTTCTTTGATTTGGGGGTCAGACCTGGTAGTGCTCAAGGGCTATTCCTGGCCCTGTGTTCCCGAGTGATCCCTGGTGGTGTTCAAGGCCATTTCAGGGATCTACCTGGGGTCAGCTGCATGCAAGGCAAGTGCTTTAATCCCTGTACTATCTTTCCGGCTCCTATTTTTAATATTTAGATAATAAAACTTTGACTTCGGGATTAACAATTATGATAAATACAATACCCCTGGAGCAATAGCACAGCGGGTAAGGTGTTTGCCTTGTATGCAGCTGACCGACCGGGCTGACCTGAGTTCGATTCCTCCACCCCTTTGGAGAGCCCAGCAAGCTACTGAGGGTATCTCGTCCACATGGTAAAGCCTGGCAAGCTACCTGTGATGAATTCAATATGCCAAACACAGGAACAACAAGTCTCACAATGTTACTGGGCCCGCTCGAGCAAATCGATGAACAACGGGAGGACAGTGACAGTGACAGTGACAATATCCCTGATAAACCTTCACTACACACTTGTTTAACAGTCCATATGTTTAATTCAAATGAAAACTTTATAGCCAAAAGAGTATAAAGTGGGGCTGGAGCGATAGCTCAGAGGGTACGATTCCCAGCATTACACATGGTGCCCCGAGCACCACCAGGAGTAATTCCTGAGTGCATGAGCCAGGAGTAATCCCTGTGCATCTCCGGGTGTGACCCAAAAAGCAAAAAAAAAAAAAGAAGTTCTACAGAAGTGGAAGAAGTCATATATAGTGTCATTTGAGAATTAAAAAGTCAGCTGAGGGGCCAGAGAGCACAACAGGGAAGGCATGTGCCTTGCATACAGTCAGCCAGGTTTGATCTCTAGCACTATATGGTGCCCCACCATGAGTGAACCCTGAGCACACAGCCAGGATTTAGCCCTGAGCACCATCAGGTGTGGCCCATAAACAAACAACAATAATAATGAATAAACACATGTTAAAGCTAAGTCACTGACAGGGCTGGAGAGATAGCACAGTGGGTAGGGCCTTGCACCTGGGCCTTGCACGCGGCTGACCCAGGTTCGATTCCCGGTGTCCTGTATGGTCCCCTGAGCACCGCCAGGGATAGTTTCTGAGTGCAGAGCCAGGAGTGACCCCTGTGAATTGCCGGGTGTGACCCAAAAAGGAAAAAAATAGCTAAGTCACTGAACTTCCATAATATTAAAAAATCAATGAGAAATCAATGGCAAAAAGGGCAGGGCAGAGTGATAGTACAGTGGGTAGGGCCCTTGTGTTGCACATGGCTGACCAGAGTTTGATCCTTGGCATCCCATATGGTCACCCAAGCACTGCCAAGACCCATGTACTGCTTGGCATGGGTCCCCAAAATTAAAAAAAATTGAAAAGTGTGTGTGGTCCAGCAGATAGCTAAGGGGTCAGCATTGGTTTGGTGGCCCTAGTGGCACCTAGGACTGCTGTGCCCAATCATTGATTTGTCTGGCCCAGTCGGCCAAGTATATTTTGGAGTGTTCCTTAGACCCACTCAACACAACCTGGGAACACCGGCCCCTTAAACAAAACTGTGGCACATGTAATACGTGCAAGATGTTGATTTCTAAGGCTGAAAGCAAAAAGGATATAGAGAAGTATGGAACGGTATTGAACAAACTGATGATCATCCCACATAATAGTGACTTGTTTTCTTCTTTGCAAATCTCTGTACACTTGAAACTTTTATTGCCATGAGTACTTAATATTTTTCAAAGTTAGAAGTATTTTTCAAAGTTAGAAGTAGCTAGAGAAACATAAGGTGCATAAGGTGCCTGCTTTGCACATGGCCGACTCTGGTTCAATACTTGGCACCACATATGGTTTCCTGAGCACTGCAGGGGGCACCTCTGACCACAGAGCCAGGAATAGCCTCCGAGCATCACAGGGTATGGGATTCAACCTCCTCCTCCCCCAATAAATTCTGAATATAAAGATTAGAAATAAATTGGGCTGGAGCGATAGCACAGCGGGTAAGGCCTTGCATGCGGCCGACCTGGGTCGGCCCAGGTTCAATTCCTCCACCCCTCTCAGAGAGCCCGGCAATATGCCAAACACAGAAATAAATTATTTTTTTCTAATGCAAAGAATAAGAATCGTTCTTAAACAGTGCACTGTAGCACAGTAGCACTGTCCTCCCATTGTTCATCGATTTGCTTGAGCAGGCCCAGTAACGTCTCCATTGTGAGACTTGTTGTTACTGTGTTTGGCATATCAAATACGTCACGGGGAGCTTGCCAGGCTTTGCCAGGAGGGAGAGATACTCTCGGTAGCTTGCTGGGCTTTCTGAGAAGGGCGGAAGAATCGAACCTGGGTTGGCCGCATGCAAGGCAAATGCCCTACCCAATGTGCGATCGCTCCAGCCCCTTAAACAGTGATCTAACAAAAATCTGTGACAAAATTTTCCTTGAGGGTAATGGACCTTACACGATCATTTTATATCTGGCTCTTCAATGATCTGTGTGTTTTGAAAGTTTTTAATTTGTCTCAGATAGACTAACATACTGAGGAGACTATTAGACAAACACCTAAAAGAAGTTCTTTCTTAAGTGATGTTGCTAGCAATTTTGTCTAAATAAGGAGCCTTTTTTTTCTGCCTAGGGCTATGTGGATATTTCTATCATCATTCCTGGATCATACAATACAGGCACATGGGCTGTGGACAGCTAAGGAGACGCATCTGAAGCCATCTGTGTCTGTCCCATCACACATGGGCCAGACCCCATGATTTCCTGAGCCCTAGCCTGTGGGCTAGACATTCCCCACCCGTAACTCAAAGATAAAGACATGTGAATTAAAACTCAAAACAGTGCTGGGAAGATGAGTCAGTGGGTTGAGCACATGCTTTGTGTGCAGGAGGCCTGGGTTTGATCCTTTGTACTGTATGATCCATCAAAGCTTTGCCTCTGAGCATCACAGGGAGCAACTCTGAGGTCAGAGATTGGAGTAGATTCTGAGCAGCACTTTGCGACCCCCTCCCCACACCCACAAAATCAAAATAAAATTCAGACAACCCCCCTGGACCCCAACTAGCTATAACCTCTTTCTGTCCAATCTAGTTATAACACGAAGTCTGACTAATCTCTATCACTTAATTCACTATTACTTACAACAAACCCCAGGGTGCTTTCGTCTATCAGCAAGGAGGCTCTTGAGTGCTTCTAACACCTTTATTAAGTTAGAGGTTTGAAGTAATAGCCATGGACTTTTAAAACGCATATGCATCTTGAGGCAACAATTTTCCCTTTCGATCTATGGTGTTTACAATAAATATCCTTGGATGGGCTGGAGCGATAGCACAGTGGTAGGTTGTTTGCCTTGCACGCAGCCAATATGGCCGACCTGAGTTCGATTCCTCCGCCCCTCTCGGAGAGCCTGGCAAGCTACCGAGAGTATCTCGCCCGCACGTCAAAGCCTGGCAAGTTCCCCGTGACGTATTCGATATGCCAAACACAGTAACAAGTGTCACAATGGAGATGTTACTGGGCCCGCTCGAGCAAATCCTTGAATGTATACAGTTATCCCAAATCTGTTCTATTTTGGGTTAATTTATATGTACAAGGATTCGGTGTACACAGCATAGTAAAGATGGGGACAAGCTAGCCACGGGAGACTGAGCAAATCATTCTCGTCAGAGCCACGCAACAGGACATTATGCAGCCACGAATAAAGAGAAGGTAACAGAGCTCAAGTACTAAGGCAGGCATCAAAGCAGAAAAACAAGCAGGATAAGGCACTTCTTAAGATCTTGTGTAAAGAGTGACAAAACCAAAACCTATATACACACTGACAACACCTACATATACACAGATCTAAGTTTGTGTAGTTAAAGCACATTGGGATGTAGCCCTTAATGAAAACAGACTCTAGGGGTTGCAGGCAGAAGATGGAGAACAACTTTTCTTTTTCACATTTTAAACTGCATCCCATTTGAATATTTAGCCATAAGCACGTTGCATTTGTAATTCAACTAACGGGCTGGAAACTGAAAAAATAGTATGTGACTCTGCGTGGAAATAGTCCTTGACAGGGGCCGGAGCAGTACAGCGGTTAGGGAATTTGCCTTGCCTGCGGCCAACCCAAGTTCAATCCCTGGCATCCCATATGGTCCCCCAAGCACTGCCAGGAGTAATTCCTGAGCGCAGAACCAGGAGTAACCCTTGAGCATTGCTGGGTGTGACCCAAAAAGCAAAAAAAAAAAAAAAAAAGAAAAAGAAAAGAAAAGAAATAGGCCTTGACAGATGTCTGCATTAAGATGAGGTCATTAGTGTGATCCGTATGACTGGTGACTGTCCTTATAGAAAATATGGACAGATGGGTACGTGCATGCTTACATACACCCAAAACACCAAGACAGGGCTATGTATGATGCATCTAAGTATAAGCCAAGGGATGTCAAAGATTTCACCAGAAGCTAGGGGAAAGGCATGAAACGTATTCTCCCACAGATCAGAAGGAACCATAGGCTGATAAAACCACGTCACAGAGAGACTTCACGCCTCCAGAACTGTGAGGAAACCTAGCTCTGCTGTTGAGTCATTTGGCTTGAAGTACTCTGTTATGGCAGCCCTAGGAAACAACTACAACGATGCTGTATTTTGCTTTACACCACAGGACACACAATTGTGAAACTCTTGGCCTTTGGTAATGGCAACTGGGTCTCTGGGGTCCCATGGCCAAACCTCACTGACTGAACCAAGAGAGTCGGCTGAAGCCTTGGCAAAGAAGGAAATCATGACTGTGTCAGAGAGAGGAGCCTGGGCTGAGGGGAGACACAAGACCGTATTGGGTGTTATCCCACTAAAACAAAACAAGCTAGCACAAATGAGTGGAACACCTACCTCCCTGATCCACAGTGCCCCCCAAAGCTTGCTCTACCCCTCCCCATGCTCGCTCTGAAGGGTCTGCTGCTCTCACATGCCACAGAGGAGGTGGCTGGAACTGTGTGGGTGTGCAGCTACAGGGCTTCACCACAGCCTTGCCTCTTGACTCAAGGCGCTGCATCATTGTGGTCTCAGTGGGTGGGTTTTGTTAACTCAGGCACTTTACCCGATGCCGCAGATTGTTTTCGAAGGGTTGAGTTAAAGGCAAACATTTTTTAAAGAAATTGAAAAATCAGATTATTGCACTGGAAAACAAGGGTTCCTGAGCATTTCTTTCATTTCTTTCTCTGTTGCAAGACTTATCGAAATACCTATCACATGTTGGTAGCTAAAGGGAAAATACTAGAATTTAGTAGAGTTTAGTTAGATAGGCTCATGCCTCCCAGCAATGTGGGAAACAGAGAAACTGTCACCTAAGATCCAAATCCCTTCATCTGTAGTGCTTTAGAGACACCAAAATTTGTTTTATTAATCCATTTACTAATGTGACTGTGACAACTCAATTTGTTGATGAAAGTACAGAAACATACAAGTCAAAACCACAAGGCAATCATTTTGCACTGAAGAGTATAGTCCATTGAGGACTGATCCTAGTTTGAATTTTGACACTGCCTAAGGTTGCCCCAAGTGCAGCCAGGAATGATCCTTGAGCACAGAGCCAGGAGTAAGCCTGATCTGCCCCAAATCAAGGAAGAAAAAGCAAGCAATACGAAACAGCTTATGCCAAGAAGACTGGAAATAAGGCTTGGCCAGAGATGCAGTTCAGTGGTAGAGCACTTGCCTTCCATGTGTGAGGTCTTTGGATTTGATCTCCAGCACTACCCAAAAAAAATGGGAAAAAGTACTGGTAGAACATGGAGAGAATGGAACGCCATACACTTTGGTGGGAATGTAAATTGGCACAGCCTAATGGAAAGCAGTACAGATATTACTTGAGACCATAAAAATGGAGGCCATGTATGTAGCTCAGTGGTAAAGTGCATTTATGAAGTCCTACATTCAATTCCCAATAAAACAGATGGTAAAATTTTTACATAAAATGAAAATCTAGAGTCAATATTTTCCATTTAGCTACCAACATGTGATCAGTGATTCAATAAGTATGGCAAAGAGAAAAAAATAACAGAAATGAGAAGGATCCAGCAATAATGCTCCAGATATTTATCTGAAGGATATGAAAACAGGTCATTGGTATCCCTTTGTGCATGGCATCATTATTCACAACACCCAGTGCATGGAATGAACTGAAATGCCCACCCAAAGAGAAATAGTAGCACTGTAGCACTGTCCTCCTGTTGTTCATCGATTTGCTCTCTTCATTGTGAGACTTGTTACTGTGTTTGGCATATTGAATACGTCATGGGGAGCTTGCCAGGCTTTGCCATGTGGGCGAGATACTCTTGGTAGCTTGCCAGGCTCTCCGAGGGGGCGGAGAAATTGAACTCGGGTTGGCCGGGCCAGCTGCATGCAAGGCAAATGCCCTACCCGCTGTGCTATTGCTCCAGTCCCAATCAGGTAGCATGCGGTACTTATATGGCAGTGGGAGCAGAGAGAAATAGTACAGCCACTCAATGGACTAGCACTCTGCCAGTAAAAAGATGAAATTGTGCCCTCTGGGAACAAATGCATGAATCCTGACTTAATTGTGTAAGTGAGTAGCTGGAATAGAGAAGGGATCACTAAGAAAATGATGGCTTGAGGAACCGGTCGGGATGGGAAATGTGTGCTGAAAGTAGATAAAGGACCAAAAATGATGACTTCTCAGTGTCTGTATTGCAAATCATAATGCCCAAAAGTAGAGAGAGAGAGAGAGTATGGGGAATCATGTCTGCCATGGAGGCAGGGGGAGGGTGGGAAAGAGGGGGTATACCGGGGATATTGGTGGCAGGGAATGTGCACTTGTGGAGAGATGGGTGTTTGATCATTGTGTGATTGTAACCCAAACATGAAAGCTTGTAACTATCAAGGCGATTCAATAAAATTTTTTAAAAATTGTGTTAAGTGAAACAAGAAAGCAAAAGACAATTATTGGATGGCTTCACTCATATGTAGAAAATGAACTACTAAAGCAACAAACCGGCAAGAAACAGAACTTCTAGACTAGCGAAATCTGACAGTTACTAAAGGAAAGGAGAGGTGGAAAGAATGTATGGGAGGTTCTTTTAGGTGGAGGTTACAATATTATAATTACAGAGGTACAAAGCTAAAGCCCTCGAATTCTGGAATACTCTAAATCAATAATCTAAAAATAAACTAAAGTATTACACATTTAGTAATGAGTTAAGCCCACTAGCTGCAAAAAATCAAAACACAGAAATTGGTTCATTCAACTACTGACAGATGATGTACTATTTATCTGCTTTAAAATGATGTTTCTGGGGTCTGAAGCGATAGTACAGCAGGTAGGGTGTTTGCCTTGCACACGACCGGCCCGGGTTTGATCCCCAGCATCCGATATGGTCCCCTAAGCACCGCCAGGAGTAATTCCTGAGAGAAGATTCAGGAGTAATCCCTGAGCATTGCTGGGTGTGACTCAAAAAGCAAAAACAAATAAAATTTAAAAATGATGTTTCAGAGTTATAGATTTCAGTGTCTTTTCTGGCTGAGTGAAATGTATTCATTTGCTCTCTTCTGGATTTTACTCCTCAAATGCAAGCAAGCAAAACAAAACCACCAAACCAACCCAGCAATTCATTTACAGAGCAGACAAACTGAACTTAAAGAAGTTTGGTTCAAGGGCCGGAGCGATAGTACAGGAGGTAGGGCATTTGCCCTGCATGCGGCTGACCCGGGTTCGATCCCTGGCATCCCATATGGTCCCCCAAGGCACCGCCAGGCATGATTCCTGAGTGAAGAGCCAGGAGTAAGCCCTGAGCATCGCCGGGGGTGACACAGAAAGAAAAGAAAAAGAAGTTAGGTTCTGGATCAATGAAACTCAACTTACCTCGTAAGCCTGGGGACTAGTGAGGCACCTGGCGATGGGGCCGCAGCAGGCAGGGAGTGTTGTTGTGAGTGGTGGTCCGCTGTGTGTCAGCAAAGGCTTCAGATAACTGCGCTGGTTAAGGAAAAAACTAGGTCTCGTTTGTCATCAATTCAAAGGAACAACTCATTCCAGACCAACCGCTCTTGGCTTCCCAAGTGCCTCTGAGACAGTAAAGGGCCTCATTAATGTCTCATTTCCTCACCACATGATGTCAGTGAAACTCTCTTAGTATCACCACTAACAGATATGGAAACCAAAGCTCAGCGAGGTCACTGATTCCTCCCGGCACTTGACAATAAAGGCCCTTAAGGAGTGGAACTGGACTAGATCCCCGGGTCCCCTAAGATTCTTCTTCACTAAAAGTGAGGGGGTCAGTGGAGCCGTGGGTTTGATCCCCACACAGCAAAAGCGAGGAAGTTGGAAAACGTCCCATAAACTGACATATTTTTAAGTCTGAAGGAAAGACTAAAGTACTGCCTATGAACACATTTTTGTACTTCATACAACATCTGGTCACAGTAAAGTGTAGAATGATGAGTTCACTAGTATATGGAATACTGGGTTTTCTATCTGTGGTGCCGAACATGGTAGTAGCATCGAGGCTTACAACTCTGAGTACGAAGCAATAAGTCTCAGTACTAACAAATTCCTTTATAAGCCTTATAAAATACTCACCCTCCCCCCAATATGGATAGTCAAGTAACTATTACAGACATGAAGATGGAGCCAGAAACACAGTGCAGGGGTTAAGACAGTTCTGCATGCTGCCAATGTGATTTGATCTCCAGTACGACATGGTTCCTCCAAGCCCCACTAGGAACACAGATCCAAGAGTAAGCCCTGAGTCGAGCTGGGTGTAGTCCCCATGCCCTCCGTTTAAAAAAAAAACAGGCTATAGAGTAGAACAGACAAAGAGCTTACCTCGCACCTGACCCATCTGGGTTTATTCACTGGCACTCCTTGAGCAGAGCCAAAAGTGAGCCCTGAGGACCATGAGGCAGGGCCCCCAAACTCAACCTCAAAAATGGAAACTTAAAAAAGATCCATACAAAAAGCTCCAAAGTGGGGCTCAAAGGACTGGAAGATATGCTTTGCATATGAAAGCCCCAGGTTCAATTCCTGGGAAAGCACGGGATGCCGGAAACACTGCTGGGAGTGATCCCAGACCACCAGGTGGGGGCCAAAAACAACAAACCAAACCCAAACCAAAACTCCCTCGGCCCAGGTAGCTTCACTGGATAAATATGAGGGCTGGAGTGATAATACAGATAATACAGCGGAAATGAGCATTTGCCTTGTATGTGGCCAACCCGAGTTCGATACCCGGCATCCCATATGGTCTCCTGAGCACCCCCAACCGTGATTCCTGAGCACTGCCAGGTATGACCCAAAAAGCAAAATAAATAAAGTTAATATTAAAAAATATTGGGGCTGGAGCGATAGCACAGCGGGTAGGGCATTTGCCTTGCATGTGGCCAACCTGGGTTCGATTCCCAGCATCCCATATGGTCCCCTGAGCACCGCCAGGGGTAATTCCTGAATGCTGAATCAGGAGTGACCCCTGTGCATCGCTGGGTGTGACCCAAAAAGAAAAAAAATTTAAGAAATATTTAAGAAATATCATCAATCTCCTATAAACTGTTCCAGAAAATAGAAAAGGAGAAAACTCTTCCCCACTCAAAATGTATAAAGGCATCACAATCTTGATAAAAACCTGATGAGGACTTTAACAAGGAACTCGGGAAAATAAACACGAAAATTAGTGATGAGACATTAATGCATTCAATTCAGCTGATACTTTCTAGAAACAATGCCATGCAGGAAAAAAATTGGGAATAATAATTTGTGATGAATCAGAGATGTAAACATAGTAGTTAAAATAGCAGAGAGGACGCAGTGCTTGTCTTATATGCTACCTGACCCTGGTTTGATCCCTGGCACCCCAGACGGTACCCTGACTGCCAGAGGAGGGAATCCTGAGTGCAGAGCCAGGAGTAAGCCCTAAACACAGCTGAGTATGGCCCCCAATCCAAAACAAAACAAAAGAGAACATTTACATCTTCTAGAGAAGATTTAAACATGTAAGACTGGCTTGTTAACAACAGATTAAGAAACCTAGTGACGGTTTCAGGAACAGACATCACTGAAATGAAGAACTAACGTTGCTCAAAATAGGATTAAGAAAACAAAAAGGCGGGCTGGGGATGCAGTTTACTGGTGGAGCACATGTGTGGAGCTTCGCAGGCATACAAGCTGGGATTTAGTTCCTGGCACTGCAAAATGAATATTTTGTTCTATTTTGTGAGGGCCCCTCCCGGGGTGCTCAGGGGGTCCGGGAGCCACTCCCAGTGTTCCTCAGACAACTGGACCAGGAGTTCAGAGAGAGGCCCAGGGAAGGCACCGTGCTCAGGCCCTGCATTGCCAGGGATTGCCTGGGCCACCTTGGTGGTGCTGGGGCCCATATGGTACAGGGGGACTGGACCGTAGGCAAGGCAAGCACCTTCCCCTCCATACTCCATCTCTGGTCCTAAACACAGATTTTAACAAGTGAGAAAGCAGGCCTGAGAGAACTCAAGAGGCCAAGCACAGAGGCCAAGCCTCGTGTGTTGAGGCCGGGGTTCAACTGCTGGCCTGGCCTAATGGGCCCCTGAACACTGCTGGGCATAGTGTGTATCTCTGGGGTACCTACAGAGCATCGCTGGGTGTGGCTTCGAAACCAACCACATGAAAAGGAAAGGTAGGACAACTCAAATAACCAGAAAAGTCATCAGACGAACTTCAGAAAAGAGGACATGCAAATAGCCCGAGGACAGGAAATGAGGTTCGGCCTCACTGGTCAGCAGAGAACATAAAATCATCAAACCACAAGGGCTATCATCACAAACCAACTGCCGTGGCTGAAACTGAAAAGGCGGGCGAAGGTCAAGTTGTGGTGATGACGCCTAACTGCCGGACACTCTCAGCTTGCTGGTGAGTGGGGCATAAATCGATCACGGCCAAGCTGGGAAGCTGGGAAAGTGGACAGTTACCAAAGCTAAGCCTTCACTTACCCTGAGTACTTCTCCAAAGTATCCAGAGAAATGAGGGCATAGGTCACTACAAGAGTTAGAGCCAAAAGTTATGCTCTATTTGCCATAGCCCAACGTTGGAAACAACCTTACTGTCTGTCAGCTGAAAAACCAAACAAGCCTTGGCAGTACCCACTCAAAAAGCACTCAACAAGAATACATTCTGAGAAAGCATCAGCTGTGCCTTTTGCAATTGGGCAACCATCACAGAGTACTACAAATCTAGGTGGTATAGGGCCAGAGAGATAGTCCAGTGGTTATGGCGCTTGCCATGCACATGGCTGACCCAGGTTTACTACCCGACACCCCATATGGCCCTGTGAGCACAGTGAAGTGTGGCCCCCAAATAAACAAACAAAAAATAGGAAAAAAATCCTTAGATGGAGGCCGGCATGACAGTAGAGCAGGTAGGGTGTTTGCCTTGCATGTGGACGACCTGCATTCAATCCCCGGCAGCCCACATGGTTCCCAGCAACGGCAATAGTAATTCCTGAGTGCAGAGCCAGGAGTAATTACCCCTGAGCATCGCCAGGTGTGACCCAAAAAGCAAAAAAAAAAAACCCTTAGATGATATAGCCTACCACACATCTAGATTGGTACAGCCGCTGGGACAACCACTGCTACGTGTTGCTGATAAAATGTCATCAGGTGACACACAACCATATTCCTAAAGTGGAACACAAGACTTTAGGGAAAAATTACTATTACATGCAATAATATACTTTATAATATATATATATTCAGAATAATTAGTGAATGAAAGTATACAAAATGTACGAAATGTTATTTCCTTTACAGTTATAATGAAAAATGTGTAAAATCCATCTGTATTAACAAAAATCCAGTTACCCGTTCAGGTGGATATGAAAAATGTTGCAGACTTCAAGGGAATGTGAGGTACCTTCTGGGGTGCTGGAAATGTCCTATATATCTTTATATTAAGCGATGGCACACCTATGTGTTTACAAGTGAAAGTTCATTAAGTTGTACACTTGTGTGCTTAATTTAACTTGGATCTCCACTAAAATGATCTGGCTATACAAAGTTAGGGAAATTTAGAACAATGAGTAAGTAATCCTGAGGACATCAGGCATGGGTATTATCATGCCTCAGTACTGATAGGGTAGTAATAAATCAGGCAATTCTTTGTTTTAACTTCTATAAAATACATAGGACATGAGCTGTATTTTTGCTTTTTAAAATTGGTTTCTGGGCCACAGCCGGCAGTGCTCAGGGCTGACTCCTGTCTTTGCACTCAGTGACCACTCCTGGTAGGCTCAGGGGACCATGAGGGATGCTGGGTATCAAAACCAGAAGGACACGTGCAAGGCCAGCGCCTTACCCATGGCACTATCTTTCTGGCCTCTGAGCTATACATATATTTTTTCTTTTGCTTTTTGGGTCACATCCAGTGACGCTCAGGGATTACTCCTGGCTCTGCACTCAGGAATCACTCCTGGAGGTGCTTGGGAGACCATATGGGACACCGAGGATCGAACCCAGGTTGGCCGTGTGTAAGGTAAACGCCCTACCCGGTGTGCTATTGCTCCGGTACCTCCGAGCTATATTTTTAAAATGGTTTTCTATACTACGATTATTTCACAGGTTTGTACATTCTGCCGAAAATGTATAAAACATTAGATACAAGAAACACGAAATGTTAAATTAGTTAAATTAGTGGGCTAGAGAAGTCCCAAAAGACAGACACGTGTGCTCATGTCCAAAATGCTGAACATGGAGCCAAAGTAATGAATTAATCATTAAGACATTTTAAAGAGCTGGGATTTCTCTCTCATAACACTACAAAAATGCTTGCATATTTGTTTCCATGCAGTAAGTTAATTTTCACGTACTTGGCCAAAAGTGCCTGTAAAAATCTAAGAAACAGTATAGAAGCTTCTTATGGTTAAGTGTCACGTCCTTCCCATACCCCATTTTCCTTTGGGGGGCACACCCTGCAGTGCTGGGAACTGAACCTGGGGATCCTGCACTTTGAGCTATCTCCCTGGCATCAAGCGCGTTCTTAAATACAGCCTTGGTCCGAAAGCTGAAAGGAAAAAACAGCTGGGTCCCAAAATGGCCTCGGTGGCATGTAAAAAGCCAGTTGGGATTAATTTTCTGCTAAGTCTCAACCTGAAAATTCCACTGTCTTTTTTTTTCTAGTTCCAATACAAAATAAGGAACTAATTTTAACAGAAGTAAAAGAAAAAATAAGACATGACTTGAACAGTGTTTGCAACCATTTGTCTGGTCTGTTTGGGGGCCACGCCTTGGTGGTACTCCGGGGCTACTCCCAGCTCTGTGCTCAGGGGTCACTCCCAACAGTGCTTAGGGGACCATGTGGGACCGGGATCGAACCCAGGGCTCCTGAATGCAAATCCAGCTCCAGCCTTCTGAGCTGTTTCTCCAACTTTCCAAATGTTATGCCTGGGAGCTTACAGCTGAAAACCACTGGATGGGAGACGATTTCACTGTCCAGAACAGAGCCAGGGAAATGGCTACATTCTGACGAGGATGGAACCTGGGACACAAGGAAACACAAGGAGGCTTTCTGAAGGGACAACTGTGACTCCCAGGGTCTGGGAAGGCATGAGAATAGGATCTAGCACAGACTATCAGTCGGGGCTAGCGTTCCTGCTTTTCAGATGCATTTGCCTCTCATGTTCTTCCTGACGGGAACCTTCCTCTTCTCTACCCTTCAGCAAGGAAGGACCAACAAATACCTTTTCTAGGATTCACTGAGCTAGCTAAAGGATGATTCACCGTAGGGCTCCTAATTCCCCCCACACAGCTGACTTCTGCACTCATCTGACTTGTTTATTTCATGGGTTTTCAGTTCTCCGTTTGTGTGGATCTCCGAATAAACTTGTCCGCTGGGTTGAGGGGGAAAGGAGAAAAATGGGGGTGTTTTTCTTCCACTTCAGAAAGGGAACAGCCCGAACAGTTGTTCCACTAAGCTCTACTTGTCAATATACACGCTGCCACCTTTGCCCTTTAAGCAAGGATACTTATGGTCAAAGTTGTACCATATCCGGAAAAGCCATGCACTCTCCGTTTTGGTATTTCTCCGTTCACTTTCAGGAATACCCTGCGAACAGATTAACAGGTAAATCAAAACACGTACAAAGATAAAAACCCATTTCTTTAGCCATTCTGTTGGAGAACTGGGAGTGTCGCTTAGCATAGGAAAGATACTTGCTTATATATTGCAACACTGGAATAAGCAATGAAAACTCCCCCCGCCCCCCAACGCCTCTATTACTCAGGCTGCAGAATGACTTGAGTCACTTAGAAAAACTGAGGTAGGATAATTTACCGCTCCCATCTGAAAACCCCACAATGCAAATGGCACCTTAAGGAGAAAAATATCACCATGACATCCCTTCCCTTGGGAGTTATCACTGGTCTCAAAAAAAACTGGTGTTTTCTTGTCTTCTTTACTTTTTTTTTGCTTTTTGTTTTTTTTGGGTCACACCCAGTGATGCACAGGGATTAATCCTGGTGGTGCTCGGGGGACCATATGAGATGCTGGGAGTTGAACCCAGGTCCGCCGCATGCTAGACAAAAGCCCTGCCCACTGTGATATCGCTCCAGCCCGAAAACTGGCATTTTAAAAAAAATTATTTGTTTTCTTTTTGGATCACACCCGGCAATGCTCAGGGGTTCCCCCTGGCTCTGGACTCTGGAATTACTCCTGGCGGTGCTTGGGGGACCATATGGGATGCTGGGAATCGAACTCAGGTCGGCCGCATGCTAGGGAAACGCCCTACCCACTGTGCTATCACTCCAGCCACAAAACTGGCATTTTCAAAGGTGCCGCTGGCTTCTGGGAACAGTATAGCAGAGGGAAAGCAGGTAGGGAAATTCCACGGGATATACACTGGGCTCCTTCCTTGTATTCTGGGGCTGACAGCGGGGGAGGGGGAGGGCTGCCTTGGCCCTAACACAAACTAGCCGGGCAAGTCCTCTGCCTTCTGTGTGTCTGAATATTTCCTTGTACACAATACAAGGGGTGGGGAGAACCTCAAAGGCCCCTGCCAGCATGTTTTATGCTTCTCTGACTTTCAGAGAGCTCGGGGTTGCGATTCACTGTCCCAGCCCTTTGGGTTCTTCAAGCAAATCAATTTTTCCCTTGATGTGAGTCAAAACATGTGCAATACTCAAAGGTCTGAGGCTTGCTGAAAAGGTTCATGGTTGCCAGAAAATACACACTTGTAGTTTGCACACCACTAGGTGTAGGTCTTGCTCTTTCACTTTATTTATTTATTTATTTTTGCTTTTTGGGTCACAGCCAGCTATTCTCGGGGATTACTCCTGGCTCTACACTCAGGAGTTACTCCTGGCAGTGCTCAGGGGACCATATGGGATGCTGGGAATTGAACCCTGGGTTGGCCGTGTGCAAGGCAAACGCCCTACCTGCTGTGCTATCTCTTCAGCCCCTCTTTCACTTTTTTAAGAGCAACAAGTGGTTAAATCTCACACCCCCTCAACACTACAAACACCTGCTCCTGCTCCATACATCCTATAATGGACACAAGGCCAAGGGAAATGGGTCTTTTTTCCTGGATGGCCACACTGCCACCTGCCTGGGTCTCTCTCCCACTCACTCCATTTCTACTTCTCCTCTGTGGTGACAGGAGTCACAGCAGGCAGAGACTTATGCAGAGAGTGGCTGGTGAGCTACATGACTTCATTTTTGTCTTGGACATGGGGGTAGCGGCAAGGAAGAGCTACTCAGTGGCCCCGAGGAAACCACCTTGGCAGCTGGGCATCATGGGGACGGATTCAGCCTGGTTTGGACAAGGATTTCAAGCCTGTGGAATTAGACTTTTAAGGCTCTAACCACGAAAGAGGCAGGTCCTTACGCTATCGCATACACATTCATTACTCAACAGCCAGCAAAATGAGCATTTAGGAAATCTGATAGACGGTTTTATTGGTTTTTTGTTTGAGCCACACCCCAAGGACAAATAAACCAGAACTGATCATCTTTTCCTCTTTAAAAACCCAAGACCTACTTAGCACAGAGAACCAGCCGCTTGGAGCAGAAAAGCAAATGGACTTGTGTTGATCCGCGCCACCAAGCCTGCCCGGAGGGGGAAGGGCGTTGACCGGCCCGCCCGCTCCTCTCTGGAAAGAAAGATGGCGGCCGCACGGGAGCCTTGTGGAAAGCGGGTTTGAGCCGGGCTCGGGGAAGCGGCGGGGACCTCATGGGAAGGGGGGCTTTGTGGGCCGTCCCCCACGCCCCACCGAGGTCGCCAGCTGCCCCCCACGAGCGGCTCTCCGGCACGGCCACGACTCCAGGGCACAGAAATCAATCTCTTAACTAGCTAACTTTTAATAGAAATTCTTCCAGGGTCAATAAGTAAAATAGCAGAAATTCAAAACCGACATCATTTTATTCTTAAACCAAGTTGTAGAAAGCAAATCATTTCACAACGCTGTTTCAGCATGTCTGATTGGGGGGGAGGTGGGTCGTAAACTCTAAACAATAATTGTGCATCTTCTATCGAAATAATCTATCTAGTCAAAGTAGATAGAGTATTAACTAGAACTCATCTGCCTCATAAGAATTGGGAGGGGTGGGAGGTGGGGGCCTATTGGGGTTCGGGGTTAAAAATGAGTATTGGTAAAGGGAAATGTGTTCGGTATCTACATGACTGAGACCTAAACCCGAAAGCTCTGTAACTTTTCCCACAGTGATTCAATAAATAAATAAATTATAAAAAAAAAAAAAAACCCAAGACCTTGGGGCTAGAGCAATAGCATGGCTTGTAGGGCGTTAACCTTGCACGTGTCCAACCCGGGGTCGATTCCCAGCATTCCATATGGTCCCCCGAGCACCATCAGGAGTAATTCCTGAGAGCATGAGCCAGGAGTAACTCCTGAGCAACGCTGGGTGTGACCCAAAAAGAAAAAAAAAACACAAAGAATCCCCAAGGCCTGTGATTTCCCACCTCATGCTGGGACCAAGTTATGGATCACTAAAAAGCAGGTGGAAGGGCTGGAGAGCGCAGTGGGTAAGGCCTTGCACAAGGCCAACCTGGGTTCAAGTCCTGGACCCCCACCTTGTTCCCTGAGCCTTGCCAGGAGTAAATCCCTGAGCAGCGCAGAGCCAGAAGCCCTGAGCACAGCCGAGTGTGGCCCCAAACTCACCCTCTCCCCCCAAAAAAAGAAAAGAAAAAGAAAAAAAATCAGGGGAAAAATGCCCGAAAAGACCAGTCTGTTTACAGAGGTCGCAGAATTCCCCTGCCTGCAGTTCCACAGGCTTGGGTGCAAAGCAACCGCTGAGAAAGCAGCACCTGGAAGAAAGTGTGTTCCCCAAGGACAATAGATACAAAGGTCAGGAAGCCTGCCTCATGCCGGGGATGGGGGTGGGGGGGGGGGGGAGAAGGCAGCTGGAATAGAGAAGGGATCACTAAGAAAATGATGGCTGCAGGAATCAGTCGGGATGGGAGATGTGTGCTGATAAAGGAGCAAGCATGATAACTTCTCAGTATCTGCACTGCAAACCATAATGCCCAAAAGTAGACAGAAAGTATGGGGAATATTGTCTGCCATGTGGGCTGGAGCGATAGCACAGTGGGTAGGGCATTTGCCTTGCAAGTGGCCACCCCGGTCAACCTGAGTTCGATTTCTCCGCCCCTCTCAGAGAGCCCGGCAAACTACGGAGAGTATCTTGCCTGCACGGCAAAGCCTGGCAAGCTCCCCATGAAGTATTCAATATGCCAAACACAGTAACAACAAGAATCACAGTGTTACTGGGCCCGCTCGAGCAAATCGATGAACAATGGGAGATCAGTGACAGTGTCTGCCATGGAGGCAGGGTGAGGGTGGGAAAGGGGGGGGGGTATACTGGGGATATTGGTGCTGGGGAATGTGCACTTGTGGAGGGATGGGTGTTTGATCATTGTGTGATCGTAACTCAAACATGAAAGCTTGTAACTACATCTCACGGTGATTCAATAAAATAAAAAATTTTTAAAATTTTTTAAAAATTAAAAAAAAGAAAGTGTGTTCACCCAAGAGGCAGGGGAAACTGAAGATTTACATGCTTCGAGGCAGTTCTCAAGGGCAGCTGCTGGTCATCCAACTTGAAAGCTGCACGGAAGAGCAGCTGGAGAGGGGCTGACATCAGCGATGGGCCTCCGTGCGCAAGCCCTGGTGGAAAAGGGCTCTCGGTGCCAGAGGAGTCACTTGAAAAGCCACGAGCGCGCGGGAGATTGCTCTCCACTCTGGCCGGGGCCCAGGCTGGCTCCCAGATAGGAGACCTGTCACCCCCGATAACCACATGCTGTTGAAACCCTGGGTTTGTCTCTAACGAGCGGAGAGCGGGAAGCCAGGAATGACGTCAGTTATGAGCTGATGCAAACAGGACCTAAATAACAGTGGCAAGATGGCTCCAGTACATTGTGCTTTTTCTTCCCGTTCCCCTCCCCCCCGCCCCCGCCTCAGAGACCGCATGGTGGAGGGAGAAACGCCCGAGATAACTATAAAGGCATATTTACCAAATGTTCTTGGTCAGAGTCAACACCAACCCTAAAGGAGAGACACAAAAAGAGAATGAGACTTTGGAAGGCAGAAAAAGTTTCGGGGCTGGAGAGATAGCACAGCAGGTAGGGCGTTTGCCTTGCACGCGATGACTTGGGTTCGATTCCCAGCATCCCATATGGTCCCCTGAGCACCGCCAGGAGTAACTCCTGAGTGCAGAGCCAGGAGTAACCCCTGTGCATCGCCAGGTGTGACCCAAAAAAGCAAGGAGAAGGTTATTCACATGGGCAGATTGCATATCTCTTGGGGTGCCGTTTGCCTCTGGGTGTGGATGGAGGGTTTTGTTCCTGCCCCTTTCCTTCGCAACAGTGTGGATCCTACGGAGAGCAGGGTCTCATTGAGGACTATCTTGCTGCAAAAGCCCACTTAACAGTTTAAAAAACATTTTTCCCCCTCACAATGCAATTCCGGGATGGAGCTGCATGCTTGGGGCCTGCTCGGCTTTCAAGGCAACATTCTATGATGATGACTGAAGACAGAGTCTAATTACAGGCGTGTTTTTTTTCCCCCTCTCATAGGCTAATGGATGGTCATTAGCCTTGGCTCTTCGTAATTCTTTTTGCTCTTGCTTAAAATTCCTGCTTTCCATAGCCCGGGGAACAGCTTCACTATGAGGATACTGTCCTGAACTCCTTCCTCTCTCCTTAATGTGAGACCTCATCAACACTGATAATTTTTTCTCCACACCGCCTCGCGGTCCCTCTGACTCCGGGGATCTGCAGCCCAGAGCGCCGAGGCTTTCCAGTGCTGAGCGCTCCCCTACAGCTAGCCGGAGAAGGGCCGGAAGTCGCAGGGTTATTAGTCCCTTGACAAAAGACTCCGGGAGCTGCTTTCCATCCAGAGGCATGACTACGGCCCTGGTCTGCGGACTGTATGTGCCACGTGTGTCTTATCTGTCCCTTGGCCACACTGACCTACTCTGACCCTCCGATACTCGCATTCTGTTTTTTCTCCGTGCCCTAGATGTCCAGTCACACTCCATTCCACCCCCCCAACCCCCGGCTCTCTCCCTAGCCTCTGTGCTTTTTGCTCATGCCACCCCCTCTAGCTGAAACACAGTGTCCTGTATTTCCCCCTACTCCTTTTCCTTTCTTTTTAAAAAAAAAAATTTTTTTTTGATTTTTGAATCACACCCGGCAATGCTCAGGAATTACTCCTGGCTCTGCACTCAGAAATTACTCCCGGCAGTGCTCAGGGGACCATATGGGATGCTGGGAATTGAACCCGAGTTGGTCGTGTGCAAGGCAAACACCCTACCCGCTGTGCTATCGCTCCGGCTCCAATTTAATTTTTAATTTTAATGAATCATCGTGAGACACATTTACAGACTTACAGACTTTCATGATTGCATTTCAGTCAAACAATGTTCAAGTACCCACCCCTCCACCAATGCCCATTCTCCACCCCCAATGTTCCCAGTATCCCTCCCTCCATCCCCACCCCTTCCGACCTCCTGCCTCTGTGGCAGGCACAATCCCTCTTTCTCTGTGCTTTTGGGTGTTGTGGTTTGCAATATGGAAAATAAGCAGCCATCATGTTTGGTCCATAGTCTACTTTCACACACATCTCCTATCCCGAGCGAGCCCTCCAACCATCATTGACTTAGTGCTCCTTTCTCCATCCCAGCTACCTTTTCCCCCAGCGCATGAGATCAACTACCAAGCCATGGGGCAATCTTCCTGACCCTTGTTTTAACTCTCCTTAGGTGTTAGTCTCCTACTATGTTACTTTATATTCCACAAGTGAGTGCAATCCTTTTATGTCTGTCCCTCTCTTTCTGACTCCCCTACTCCTTTTTCGAATTCCGAACAAATCATCCTTTGGTCCGTTTCAGTCAATTTTCTTCCGTGCTTCTCAACAGCACTTTCTGGATTTTTCTATCACAATAGGTAGCACAGAAGAGTAAGAGTGAGTTACCTGTACTGTCTCCACAAATCAACTGTGAACTCCTTGAGGGGAAAGGTCATATCTCAATTCATGCCTCTATCCTCAGAGTCTGGCACAGTACCTGACACACAATAGGTGCTCGAATGTTTATTGATTAAGATCACTACTGACAAATCAAAAATAGCAACAGGAGAAGCTGTCTCAGTAGTATCACGGAATATGAACCATACCAAAAGGAAGGAAACGATGCAAGGCCTCAAGTGGGAAGCAAGTGAATCATGGCCAAGTGCTTAAAAAACAGATGGCCATGACCAGAAAAGTCAAAGAAAGGCTCATTTCTTTTTTGTTACAATGGCCTGAAACTGTTTAATATCTTCTCAGCCACATCACACTCTAACCCACATTTGCGCATCGCAAGTGACATCTAGTGGTCTCGTGGATAGCACACTTGTAGCTTGCAGAGGGAGCGTTGCTGGAAACTGCAATCAACACTGAGACAGCACTTAGTACTTGCCAGGCACCGTGCTAGGCCAGGGCACAGACAGGAATTAGACCTGTCCTCTGCCCCCAAGGACTCAGCTAGAGTGATAGTACAGCAGGTAGGGCGTTTGCCTTGCATGCGGCCGACCCGTGTTCAATTCCCAGCATCCCATATGGTCCCCCGAGCACTGCCAGGAGTAATTCCTGAGTGCAGAGCCAGGAGTAACTCCTGTGCATTGCCGGGTCTCACCGAAAAAGCAAAAAGCAAAAAGGGAGGACCTCACAGCTTGGAGGGGGGAGACACACACAACTAAGAGTGGAACTGCACTGGCTCTGCCATCAGAGTTGGGGTGCATCTGGCCCCGGCTCCACAGCAGCTGGGGGAACTTAGTCAAGTGATGCCGCCAGATGTGCCATTGTTTTTGCACCTGGGAAATGGGGACAATCTCCACCCCACGGAGCTGCTGCGAGGACAAAGGGTGCAAATATGGGGAGAGAATGAAAAAGCGCCTTCTGCGTCCACACTCAGTGAACAGTGGTGTCCAGCGGGACTACGGGAAGGCTGCCCAAAGTAAGGGTGGTAGATGAGGCAGTCAGCGTGCAGCATGCCAGACACTGCTCCCCACCAGAGAAGCCAAGAGGAGGGATGTGAGTGGTGGCATCTCCTGGAAGTAAAGAGCAAAGCCTGGACCGAGGAAACAGGGCAGGCACCAGCCTGGGGAACTGCAATGCGTGAGAGAGGTCGGGGAGTCCAATGGGAACGCCACAAGCCCTGTCCAAGTGCATCAGAATAGCTGCTTGGGACTCGACCTGGCGTTGCTCCCAGTCCAATAGCTGGAGGTGCCCTTGTTTGTTCCATTAATGGGCTTGGGGGCCCCACCTGGAGCAACCAAGGGCTTATTCTTGGCTCTGTGCTACCGGAGTCACTCCTGGTGGTGCTCAAGGGACCAAAGCAGAGCCTTCCCCTGAGTACTATCTCTTGAGCCCCCTGGGGTGGTGCTTTGACTACAGCCATCAAGCCCCTTCTCGTGCTTTATATAAAATCCTACCAAATTTCCAGCTGGTCCTTAAAATCTAAGCTTCGTTTTTTTTTTTCATATTTTTATGTTATGATGCCAGGGCTTAAGCCCAGATCAGCGTCACTCGTGTTTGCCAGGGCTTCTAAAGCTGAGCTATGTGCCAGGATCCCAAATCCAAACTTCTTAGCATACCCCACAAGCCCAAGCAGCAGGGAACCCCACAAACTCCAGCCCACAGGTCTCATCTAGGAGACCTGTTTTTGTGAAAAAGCATTGTGAAGGGGCCAGAGTGATGATACATTGGGGAGGGTGTGTACCTTGCCCGAGCTTGACCTGTGTTCTAACCCTGGTACCCCAATATAGTCCCCTGAGCATTGCCAGGCATGATCCCTGAGCGCAGAACCAGGAGTAAGCCCTGAGCACTGGCAGGTGTGGCCCAAATCCTGCCCCCCAAAACACTGTGGAAACACAGCCTACCAACTGACAGATTCTCTGTGGCTGACTTCACGGTCAAGTTCAGAAGCTGAGTCAGTGACTCCATGGCCTGGAAATCCTGTCATTCACTATCTGGCCCTTTTATAGTATCCATCTGGCAGCCCCTCAGGGCTCTTACCCACCTCAGTTCCTACATACCTTCTCATCATGGCACTAACTAGCAATATGGGCAGTTTTTCTGAACCCTAATCAGGCCAAGTCTGCATCAGGGCCTTTGCACTTGCTTTCCCCTTTGTCTCTATGGCTCTTCTTCCCAATCACCGACATCTTGTCATTCCGGTAGACCGAATGCAAGTGTAATGTGAGAGCCCTTTCCTGACATTGGCATATAAAATAGACCTTAGCCCCCACCACCAATATGGCAATGGGCTGGACATCATTGTATTTAATACTATCTAAAGTTGACATCTTCCTTAATTTGTTTACTAGTTTCTTGTCTGTCTTCTCTCACTACTATTTCTATTCATCAGCGGGCCTCTCTGCAGCATGGGGCCTTCAGCTTGACTGACAATCTCTCCAGATATATTTTTTTTGTTGTGGGCTGGCTGCTCTGGGCATTATAGGATGTTTAGCAGCATTTTTGGCCACTACCAATGGGATACCAGGTAGCAGGTCCTTCTTTTTGACTGTGACAATCAAATCTGTCTCCAGACACTGCCCTAAGTTCCATTATAGTCACCCTCAGTTAAGAACCACCAAGTTAGAGTTTAAACAAAGGGCCCGGTAGCACTGTAGTATGGTCCTCCCATTGTTCATCTATTTGCTCGAATAGGCCCAGTAACATCTCCATTGTGAGACTTGTTGTTACTGTGTTTGGCATATCGAATACGTCACAGGGAGCTTGCCAGGCTTTGCTGTGTGGGAGAGACACTCTTGGTAGCTTGCCGGGCTCTCCGAGAGGGGCAGAAGAATCGAAGGTGACTCGGCCGGGCCAGCCGTGCACAAGACAAATACCCTACTGCTCTGCTAGAGCTCCAACCCAAGGACCCAGTACTCAGTACTTATCAAATGAGTGGACAAAAGGAAGATTTGAAACACGATGCTCAGAGCTCTGGATATTAGCTCACTGAATCCTTACAACAACCCAAAGAAGTAGGTACCAGCGCATACACCTTACAAGTGAGGAAACTGAGGCCTATCAAAGGTTAAAGAACTTGCCCCAGGTCACTCAATTAGGAAATGAAGGAGCGAGAACTCAGAGTCAGGACTAAATCTGTATGAACCAACTTTTATTCTTTTTTAATTTATTATTGGGTTTTAGGGCCACACCCAGTGATGTTCAATGTTTACTCCTGGCTCTGGGCTCAGGAATCACTCTTGGCAGGGTTCAGGAGACCATATGTGGTGCTAGGAATTGAACCCAGATTGGGTGTGTGCAAGGCAAGTGCCTTACCCACTGTACTGTCTCCAGCCCCATGAACAAAATTAAAGATAAGTTACTAGCACCTTCAAAGTTATATTAGATAAACTGAGAGGGAGAGCAGGAGAAAAATAATAGCAAATCTTTGTAAAGAGACTAAAAGCAATCACTAAATAACCACCAACACAAAACTGCAAAGCAGTTTAAGTGAAGGTTTTGCTACAGGTCAGACAAGAGATGGATTTGTTTGATGTGAATGGGCGAGTTTTTGTGAGGTCTTCTTTTTTTGAGGGGGGGTGGGGGGTCTAAGCAAAGATATTTTGTTTGACTTTTGTGAAACGCAATGATGCAAGAGAATTTGATGTTAACTATGAAAACTTAGTCTCCTCTGAAGAGAATGATTTTTCCTAAATTATCTTACATTGAATTTTTCAGAATAAAGAAGAGTCACTTACAAGTTCTTAAGAACTAACCCTTCCCAAATTTACCACCCTCATTTCATAATGCACCTTGGTCCAGAAGAAATTGAGACTGAAGGCTCCTCTGTCCAACATTCATTCTCTGTGTGACTTTTAACAACTCAGTCTTGTCTTTTTTTTCTTAGTTTGTGGGCCAGTGCTAGCAGTGTTACAAGCTTACTCCTGGCCCTGCATGCAGAAATCCGTCCTGGCTGGCCCAGGGAACCATACAGGATGCTGGGTATTGAACCTGGGTCAGCCATGTGCAAGGCAAATGCCCTACCTGCTGTACTATCACTCCAACCCCCTTAATAATGCATTAGGCCTCTATTTGCTCAGTTGTAAAACTGAGCAATGATGACTAGGAAAATATCTAAGATGTATTTAGCATAATGCCCAACACACACTAGGTACTCAACAAATGCCAGGTCCTCCTTAAAATATAATCAGGATTATAAGAAGATTAACTGGTCGTATTTTCTATTAGGTATAATAGCAGCACAGAAATGCCAAGAAAGGCATTAACACAGTAAAGAGAGATAAAGATAGAGACAACAATGGCAACATTCAGAAGTGTGGTTTAGGGACGAGCTGGTCTTTAGTATCACAAGAAAGATTTAATGAAGTAAAAAAATGGAGAACAGATTATATGAAAACAGTGAAATATTGCTTTCTCTAATGAACCCTACACATTCTGGAAGCTCACAAGCTCTTAAGGTCTACGAAGCTTCAGCCAAATGCCAAATTAAAATCGACAAAGGCGTTAGCAACACAGGCTGCTGTAGTCATGGAAACAATTGCAGAACTCTTGAGAAACCAGAGGCTTGCCAATGGAATTCATTAGCTAGTATGCATTTAATATGACAATCTCACAATCACAGCTTTATATTATGAAGTTAGAAACAGTGCTGATAATAATGATGAGAAAGAACGATGCAATCTCGCATGATATGGGTTGGGATAAATATTACTTTTCATATCATCACACATAAGAACAGTCTTTCATTTTCGTTGGTGATATGGATCAAAAGCCTTAAATACATTCATATCCTCTGACTAAGCAATTCATTGTTAGGAATAGATCCTGAAGAAAGAAACCCATCCTGAGTGATGGGTTCATTTACCAATGTTCACACTACTGATGGTCACTGTGAGAGCAAAATCTTCAAATACGGATGGCAATAGCTAAATCCTTGATGTACGAAGATCAATTTATTTGCTTATATAAACAATGATACATGCAGCCATTCAAACAATATTTGTAAATTGCTAAGTAGCCTAAGTATCTGTGCTGTGGAACATGTCAAAATCAGTTACATGAGGACTTTCAGTGTGGTCCCCTTTTGGTAAAAAAGATACAGAATACATAGGAAGAGGTCTGGAGGGCCACCTCCTCCAAGTGTTAATAACAGCTTCTATTGTTGTGCTTTTGTGTCATTTCCATTTTTTTTCTGTACAATGTTATGTACTTTTGAAAAAGGCAAAAAAAGGGGGTGGGAGGATATTACTGACACCCAAGCTTAACACTTTTCCCTTGATTCAAAGATAAACCACCTGAACTATAATGCAGTGTGATAAAGAGGTGCCCCAACAGGACTGACCTTATATGCAAGCAGGAGAGCATGGCAGTAGTGCCCCCACCGAAGACCCAAACAGTGAAAAACACAATCAGGAGCGTGGTGCTGAACATCATTTGCCGTGCGTAAGTGGCGGTGTCTCGAATGGCCAAGGCAAATGCCATCGCCCCACGAAGGCCTGCAAAGGAAAAGAGGGATCTCATCAAGAAACCATTACGGACGTGTGATGAATCCGGAGAAATAAGGCAGTCTATGAAGCACACAGGCACTCAGACATGAACTCTTGCGTGAATATATACAAGTAGTGGGGCTGGAACAATTGCAAGGTGGGAAGGTTGCTGGTCTTGCCTGGGACCGACCTGGATTCGATCCCCAGCATCCCATATGGTCCCCCAAGCCTCGCCAGGAGTAATTTCTGAGTGCAGAGCAAGGAGTAACCCCCTGAACATGCTGGGTATGACCCAAAACAAACAAACAAAAGAATATATCCAAAGAGAGAATTAGGGGATACTTACACACTTTGGGCTTTGAACAAACAAAAAAATGTTTTACTTACCGTGAAATTCGCTCTTTATGGTATATCGTTTTGTGAGTTTTAAAAGACCTTTGAGGTTTTTTTTTTTTTCAGTATAACTCTGGCAGGCGATTCTTTTTAAAAAGTCATTTGTTGAGATTGTTAAAATGAGCTTGTTGCTGGGTTACCATGTTCTAGAATTTCAGGGCTATGGATTCACACCTCCATTGTACAGGTCTAGCTATACCCACTATCAAAGCTCTAGAGCCGTTCCCCACCTACACAGGCTCTTCTACCTTCCCCCTCATTTTCCTTCCCATGACTGCACCACCACAACCACGACACAGAACCTCTTAGTCCATTCTCTCTATCCCTGCCTCTGCACTCCATAGCCCCAATTTCTTCTTCTCCCTCATTATGTTTTCACCATTTTGAGAATGCATACACAGGGAACCATACAGTATGCAGTCTTTCAGGAATGGCTTTTTATTTTTCATTCAGCAAGACCTCTGAGGTGCATGTGTGCTGCTAGGTGAATCAACAGTTTGTTTTTCGGGGGACTCTCATTCACTGCTGGTGAGAAAGCCGATTGGTCCAGCCCTTTTGGAAAACAATATGGACGCTCCTAAAAAACTAGGAATTGAGCTTCCACGTGACCAAGCAATTCCACTTTTTGGCATCTACCTCAAGGGTCTATAATCTATATTCAGAAAATGCATTTGCACTCCTATGTTCCCAGTAGCCAAAATCTGGACACAACCCAAGTGCCCAGAACAAATGACTAGATAAAGAAACTATGGTGCATATATACAATGGAATACTATTCAGCATTAAAAAGAGATGAAACCGTGCTATTTGCTGCTATATAGATGGATGTGCAGCGTATCAGGTTGAGTAAAGTTAGTCAGAAGGAGAGGGACCAACACAGAATGGTCTCATAAGTAGAATACAAAGAAATAAAGTAGTCATACAATAAATACCTAAAGGCTACAGAGAGTGAGAACTGATCTTTAGTAGAAAGCTTACCATAGATTAGGGAAGGAGGGAACAAGACAGGGTGTGTGAGTGAGTGCATGTGCGTGTGGGTGTGCGTGTGTGTGTGTGTGTGTGTGTGTGTGTGTGTGCACGTGTGAGTATGCATGTGTAATACTGGGACAGTGGTGGATGGAAGTGGACATTCTGGTGGAGGGTGTGATGCGAAAATATATGATGCATGAAACCCCACCATTAACTATTGTAAACCAGGAAGCCTAAAATAAAATTTTAAAAATTAGCTTGTTCTTTCTAGAGCTAAATAGTACGCTAATGTCTGTACAAACCAGTTGCTGATGCTTCATGCACTAGAAGACAGACTAGATCCATTTTCAGGATTTGATGATGGTAACTATCACTACTCATACACAGGTCGGTGTGTAAAGATGTATTCATCTCCTTCACTCTGTGTGACAGATTTCTAAATTGAGGGCTGGGAACCTGACCATGAAAAAAATTTCATAGAAGAAATTTTGGGAAATGAGAAAAAGGATTTTCTGTTGACAGCTGCAACATCTGTAGTGATTGAAGTCTTATAGTTCCAGCATATTAATCCACTTGAAATCAAGCCAGCATGGGACTGTATGGCAGAATATTGGTACTCCGGTGGTGGTAGTCACTTGATCACTTGACATCCCGTTACTCATCAACTTGCTCGAGAGGGCACCAGCAACGTCTCCATTCATCCCTGTCGCGCGCTAATGTAGCCCAGTGGCATCTGTTCATTCTAGGAACACGAAGAGTCTCAAACCGATTGGTTAGGGTCTTGATGAAGAAGTCTGACCATCTCATAGGTGGGCGGCCACACGATCTTTTGACGTCCGTGGTGTGGTAATATATACTTTGAAAAGGCATGAAATTGTATGTCCCTCAAACATACATGGAATGTGTAAACCAATTATGATAGCATTTTAAAAAAATCAAGGTAGCATATGAATTGTGAGTGGTTTCTTGGAAGAGGTGAAGAGAGGGAAGAAAAGTTTTACCTTACCTGCAAACATCATCATATGCTGAAAATTTGATCCAATCTTACTTTTCCTACCCAAATTGAGTAACAGGGACAAGGGATAAATATTGGCAGCTCTTCCCAAGAAAATAGCAACCTAAAATGATCAATGGGTTAAGGATAATTTTTAAAAACTACTAGTATACTGAGATTATATATTTAAGATTGCAAGACTACTTCAGCAAGTTTATATCTAGGAATTTTTTTGATTCTGCTACCCAACGAGAATTCAATGATGAGAATACACTGCATCTTCAATGTCTGACACAGAGAATGCCAGAAAAGTGGTTAGTGGTAAAGGGACTAAAATTTTCATTGGGCCTCAATTTATATTTATGTAATAGGATGCAGTTAGTCACTAACCAAATTGGATAGTGCAGGTCGACCATATTAGAAATTCATTTCACAAGAAGAAACATGGTTAAAAAGGAACTCTTGGCTGAAGAGATAATACAAGGGTTAAGGTACTTGCCATGCATGAGACTGGCCCTGGTTCAAGGTCCTTAGCACCATGTGATCCACTTTACACTTCCTGGATGATCCCTGAGCACAGAGGTGGTAGTAAACTCCAGTCACCACTGGGTATAGTTTCAATGGCCCCTGGAGGGAATCTTCAGTATCTATTATTATAAAAGGCGAGCTCATTTCATTTTTTTAAAAAAATTAACTATCTCATAGTGATTCAATTAAAAAAATGTTTTCATCAAGAGTCTGTAGGTAATAATACTGCTAATAAAGCCTAATTCATTTTCATTGCAAACACTGGACGGAGGAAAGTCCTACTGGCTCGTGATAGCGTCCTTGCTTCGTAAGAACAGCTCAGCAGCATGAATACAGCACACCACTGAAATTCCTGCCTGCTTGGTATGTTCCTCTGTGGCCACACTTCCCCTGTGTGTCAGAGAGAGGGCTTATATAGAATTCAGGCTGATTGTGAACAAGACATCATTTTAGTTTTTTTCTCTGGTTTGTGGTCTATAAAGATAACTACTTCACAATGAATTATTTTTAAATTCAGGGATCATAAAACTGTCTCCGCCCCCTTTTCTGAATGAAATATACAGAAAATAATCTAGGATTAAAAAGCAAACAATGGGTCTGGAGCGATAGCACAGCGGTTAGGGTGTTTGCCTTGCACGTGGCCGACCTGGGTTCAATTCCCAGCATCCCATATGGTCCCCCAAGCACCGCCAGGAGTAATTCCTGAGTGCAGAGTGAGGAGTAACCCCTTTGCATCACCGGGTGTGACCCAAAAAGCAAAAAAAATAAAACAAACAAAAAAAAAAAACAAGTGAGGGGCTGGAGAGATAGTACAGTGGATAGGTTATTTGCTTTGCACATAGCCAACCCAGATTCGATCCCCAGCATCCCATATCCCCCCAGCACCACTGGTAGTGATCCCTGAGCATGGAGACAGGAGTATGCCCTGAGTACCATCAGGTGTGGCCCCCGAAACAAACAAAACAAATGGGGGACAAAGTACTGACCTAAGGAGGGTTGGAAATGAATTGACTTGTCTCTGACGGTGATTATAAAGTATCAGTCTGTATGGGTAAAGGCAAAAGCAACTGAATATAAACTAAACTGTGCACAAAAACTGCATAGAGCGGGTAGAGCATTTGCCTTGCAAGCAGCTGACCCAGGTTTGATTCCCAGCATCCCGTCCCCTGAGCACCACCAGGGGTAATTCCTGAATGCAAAGCCAGGAGTAACCCCTGTGCATCACCGGGTACGACACAAAAAGCAAAAAAAAAAAAAGAAAAAAAGAAAAAAAAAGAAAAAATACTGCATAGAAGATAAAGGCGTAGTGCCCGAGAGCTAGTACATGGGTTCAGGTATTTGCCTGGCACTCAGCTGACCCCTGTTTGATCACTGGCACCACACGGTTCCCTGAGCACCATCAGGCGGTAACCCCTGAGCCCTGCCAGGTATAGCCCCACACAGACCACCCCCAACAAGATAAAGCTCCTTCCCACCTTAGCACGTTAGCAGCTCTGAGGCTGTGGTGCAGGCTGGAATGGAACCATTCAGTAAATGAATGAAGGCTTGGTGGGAGGCAGGTTTCTCATTCCTGGATTGGTCGTTACAGACCAGAAGGGTTAGGAGGCTACAATGATCCATGTGGTAGTGGTACAGTTGGAAACAATGATAGCAAGTCAATTCTACCTTAACAGAGAGGCAGAGGCAATGTAGGAAGATGGAAATATAACAATCCCTATATAGGGGCTGGAGCAGTAGTACAGCAGGTAGGGCGTTTGCCTCGCACGCAGCCAACCAGGTTCGATTCTTGGTGTCCCATATGGACCCCCAAGCACCTCCAGGAGTAATTCCTGAGTCCAAAGCCAGGAGCAACCCCTGTGCAACGCTGGGTGTGACCCAAAAAGATAAAAAAAAGGAATCCCTATGTAATATAGCTCTCACCTGTCAGCTGAGAGGGCCGGTGGCAGTCAGAACACAGAGAGAGCTCAGACCCATTTTTCATTATCTTTTCTTTTTTTTAAGAACCGGAACCACTAAGACCACATTGTCTCCGTCTCACTCTTCCAAGGGAAGAGCAGAATGATCATCAGGGGTAAAAGACAGGTGTAAAAGCTAGGACACCTAGAACCGGCCTCATGCCCAGGTTCTGACTCATGGTTTCGGGAGCTATACACAATCAAGAGAAACTTCTCTGGTAATGAACTCTAGAAATGATCCCTGAGATTAGTAAAGTCTTTCAGACCGAGGTTTCGAGTACCACTTCCCAAATAAAAGGAATCCAAGTTCCTCAGGGAACTGGCAGGCTCCAAGGCTAGGGCAGAAGACATGCAAATTGATCCAAAAGCATCTTGTCATTTCAGAAAGTAGTGATGTGTCTCCAACTAAAGGGGTGGGGGACGTTGGGGGACATTCAAAACCAGAGATGGGGTACCAGAGTGATCAGAGCCAAGAGGAGCCCCTGAACACTGCCAGGGGTTCCTCCAAACCCCAACTAAAACATACAACACCCACTCCCCACTCCCAGTCAGGGATGCCAAGGGGACACACGAACCCGATGTAATAATTCCCAGTGGCCAAGGCTGGAAGAGTTTGTGCAACAGAATGTTTAAAAAGTAGGATCTGGGCTAGAGCGATAGTACAGCAAGTAGGGTGTTTGCCTTGCACATGGCCAACCCGGGTTCGATCCCCGGCACCCGATATGGTCCCCCAAGCACCGCCAGGAGTAATTCCTGAGTGGAGAGTGAAGAATAACCCCTGAGCATCGCTGAGTGTGACCCAAAAAGCAAAAAATTAAAAAAAATTAAAAGTAGGGTCTGAATAGATAGTACAGCAGAGCAGGGTGCTTGCTTTGCATGAAGCCAATCTGGGTTCAATCCCTGTCACCCCTAGAAGTGATCCCTGAGCACAGAGTCCTAAGTATTGCTAGGTGTGGCCTCAGCCCACCCCCAAAGTAGTACTATATTATAAATATCAGTGAGTCCCCACAGATTATAAATAATGGAATAAAGGAAGACTACAGGTGAAAGACGGAGGGAGGGAGGTAAAGAGAGAGGGAGGGAGGGAGGGAGGGAGGGGGAAAGAAAGAGAGACAGTTCAAGGGGCTGGAATGCACTTTTTGGGGGATCAAACTGCATGTATTCCCCAGAGTTAAGAGTTCAGAGAAGCCCTGAGAACTGCCTGGTATGGCCCCCAAGCTAAAGCACACCAAAAAATCAAAAGAGGAATAGACCAATTTCTCTTGCCCCCCAAATTCAGAGTAACTTTGATACTCTGTCCTAGGAGAGACAGAGCCTAAAACCTGCCCAACAACTGGAAGAGAGAAGGGATCACTAAGTCAATGATGGCTGAAGGGTTAGTTTCGGATGGGGGGTGTGTGCCGAAAGCAGATAAGGGACCAAGTATGATAGCCTCTCAGTATCTATACTGCAAACCATAACGCCCTAAAGTAGAGAGAGAGAGTATGGGGAAAACTGTCTGCAAAAGAGGCAGGGGGAGGGGTGAGATGGGGGGTATACTGGGGACATTGGTGGTGGAAAATGTGCACAGGTGGAGGGATGGGTGTTCACACATTGTATGACTGAAACTCAAACATGAATGCTTTATAACTATATCTCACAGCGATTAGCACTGTAGCACTGTCCTCCCGCTGTTCATCAATTTGCTAGAGCAGGCCCAGTAACGTCTCCATCGTAAGACTTGTTGTTACTGTGTTTGGTATATCGAATACGTCACGGGAAGTTTGCCAGGCTTTGCTGTGCGGGCAAGATACTTTCGGTAGCTTGCCGAGCTCTCTGAGAGGGGCAAAAGAATCCAACTCGGGTCAGCCGCGTGGGCCGCATGCAAGGCGAACACGCTACCCACTGTGCTATCGCTCTAGCTCACTGTGATTAAAAAAAAAAAAAACAAATAAAAAAAAAAATAAAACCTGCCCAATGAAATGAACAGAAACTTTCTCAAAGAAGAAATCCGAATGGCAAAAAAAGCACATGAGAAAATGCTCTACATCATTAATCATCAGGGAGATGCAGATCAAAACCACAATGAGATACCATCTCACACCTCAGAGACTGGCCCACATTCAAAAGAACAAAAGCAACCGATGCTGGCGTGGATGTGGCGAGAAAGGGACACTCCTTCACTGTTGGTGGGAATGTCCACTGGTTCAGCCCTTCTGGAAAACAGTATGGACGATTCTCAAAAAATTAGAAATTGAGCTCCCATTTGACCCAGCAATACCACTCCTGGGAATATATCCCAGAGAGGCAAAAATGTATAGTCGAAGTGACATCTGCACTTGTTTGTTCATTGCAGCACTCTTTACAATAGCCAGAAACTGGAAGAAACCTGAATGCCCAAGAACAGATGACTGGTTAAAGAAACTTTGGTACATCTACACAATGGAGTACTATGTAGCTCTTAGAAAAGATGAAGTCATGAAATTTACATACAAGTGGTACAATATGGAAAGTATCATGCTAAGCGAAATGAGTCAGAAAGAGAGGGATAGACATAGAAAGATTGCATTCATCTGGGGGATATAAAGTAACAAAGTATGAGATTAATACCCAAGAATAGCTGAGATCAGCACCAGGAGGATTACTCCATAACTTAGAGGCCAGCCGGGTATCCTAGAGGAAAGGGCTATTCAGATAGAGAAGGGAGCACCAAATAAAGGATGTTTGGAGGATCCTCCCAGGAGGGGAGATGCATGTCGAAAGTAGACTATGGACTGAACATGTTTGCCACTCAATGCCTCTTTTGCAGACCACAACACCCAAAAGGAGAGAGAGAACACAGGGGATTGCCCTGCCACAGAGACGGGGGGATGGGGGGATGGGGGTGGGAGGGATATTATCCATGGTGGTGGAAAATGGGCACTGGTGGAGGGATGGGTATCTGATCATTGTATAATTGAAACCAAAGCACAAAAAATTGTAAATCTACAACTTTAAAAAAAATAAAATAAAATAAAGGGGAAAAAAAAATAAAATAAAAAAAAAAATAAATAAAAAAAATAAAAAAAAAAAAATAAAACCTGCCCAAATATGGGCCCGGAATAGTCACTTCCTCCTAATCAGTGAATCTCAAAAGAAAGCACGACATTCATCTGATTGTTAGGGAACATAACACCCTTCCCACTGGGAGATATTTAGCCCAATACCAGACTAACTGTGCCTCAACATTTTTCAAAATCAAGGAGCCTCTGAGTAACTGCAGACTGCATTGAAATATAAGCTGCAGAAACTGTGGTCTGTATTTAGAATATCAACAATTGCAAGCTAAGAGGCAGAGTCTCAATGGAATGTGGACCAGGAAAGGGACCTCAGAGGCCAGGGGCCAGGGGCTGCCTCCCACAAAACAATGACAACAACGACTATAGACCAAACATGACTGCCACTCTTTTGCAAACCACAACACCCAAAAGGAGAGAGAGAACAGAGGGGAATGCCCTGCCACAGAGGCAGGGTGGGATGGGGGGGGGGATGGGGGGGGAATACTGTGTCCCATGGTGGTGGGAAATGGGCACTGGTGGAGGGATGGGTATTTGATCACTGTATAATTAAAACCCAAGCACAAAACTTGTAAGTCTACAACTGTACCTCATGGTGTCTCACTAATAAAAATTAAAAAAGAAAAAAAAAACAATTCCAGGGAAGTCAATCATATATAAAATTTTGTTAATAGCTGTGGCAAATGTACCATGCTAATACTTTCTATATTATCTTCCATTTAATTGGTAAATCTGAAACTGTTTCAGAGTAACAAAGGCTATTAAGATATGATTCCCCGAAAGAAGAAAAACATCAAACGGGTCGGCGTTGCAGTGACTGCTGGTATATCCCCAACATCTATTCCTTCCTTCCTCTACTGTGGCCAACTCTCCCTCTCCCCACTGGATCCTGAATAGAGACACCAAGATAAAGGAGATTCTCCCTGCCTTCCCTTAAAGGCAAGTGCAATCAATGAATGTTAAATGTAGTGAGTGATCCTGGGTCCTGCCAGGGAACTGGTGGCATGAGCTTAAAAAGAAGCTTAGGGCTGGAGCAATAGTACAGTGGGTAGGGCATTTGCCTTGCATGTGGCCAACCCGGGTTCAATTCCCAGCATCCCATATGGTCCCAAGCACCGCCAGGACTAATTCCTGAGTGCAAAGCCAGGAAGCAACCCCTGTGCATTGCTGGGTGTGACCCAAAATGCCAAAAAAAAAAAAAAAGAAGCAGATTAACTGGCTCAGGATGGTAGCAAGAAGGTGGCCTGGGTCCTTGCTGGCTTTGTGGAGCAGAGTTTAGGGTAGAGTGATGCAAGCGTTGTTTGGACTTTTACATGAGAAAGACATAAACACTGATCTTGTTTATGCTGTGATTTGAGGCGTTTGTCACCAGAAATCAAAACTAAGGACTAACTAGTACAGACAGAAGGAAAGAACTCTGCTGTTAAGTCGATTTTCAGGGTAGGCTTTTGTTCTGAGAATCTCCAATCCTTTTGATTCATGGGAACACAGCTGGGGATGCTAAGGGGTCAGTACTGGTGGTGCCCAGGAGACTATACGTGATGCTGGGAATTGAACCATGGTGGCCACGGGCAAGGTGGGTACCTTAAGCCCTGGACTGTCTCTCTGGCCCCTGAAACTTCAATTCTTAATAGACGCAAAAACCTAGGGACGCAGAACATGCCTTGTTGCTGGGTAAAGAGAGTTGATGAAGCCATGTGACCGCCCAAACATTTCTCAAAAACTCACAGGATGTATAGTTACCAATCTCATGGGAAGTTTGCCATGGAAGGTTTTTCTCTTATTAATAGAGCTTTATCTTTTCTACCTCAGGTTCATTCCCAGCAGACGAAGACTGCAAAATGACATTTCAGTAATACCCCATATCTAACAGAAATCCTACTTAAGAGTTTTAATTTTGAAAAGATTTCCACTAATCTCTTTGGTAAAATCTTGATTTTAAAAAAAAAACACTTTTGAAAATCACTAACTCAAACATATTTCTCTCTCTGTCACATATCACAATCTCCCTTTCCATGTTTCCTGTTCATTTACTCCCCCTGGATTATTGTCCTATCGCACTTGCACCTCCAATCCAGAGGTCCCTCGACTTTTTCCTTTTTGTATTTTTCTGGCCATACATGGCCACGCTTGGGGTCTACTCTTAGCTTAGTGCTTAGGGCTGAGGATCAATCCTTGGCTTTCTGCATATAAAGCATGCACTCAGCCCTCTGGGCTATGCCTGGCCCTCCTTCTGATTTCTCTTAAATAGTCCTCTCCCCTTTCCATGACATCTAAGTAGTGTTCTGTTCAACACCCTGCATTCACTCACCCACGTTTTTATGGCTCCTTCTTGACAGAATGGCAAATCTAGGTGGTGTGAACCATTTTTGTTTTTTGGGCCACATCCAAGGATTCATAGGGGTTACTCCTAGATTTGCACTCAGGAATTACTCCAGGCAGCACTTGGGGGACCGAATAGGATGCCAGGGATCAAAACTGGGTCAGCCACGTACAAGGCAAACACCCTACCTGCTGTACTATCCAGCCCCCTACACCATCTCTCTCTCTCTCTTTTTTTTTTTTTTACTTTTTGGGTCACACCCGGCTATGCACAGGGGTTACTCCTGGCTTTGCACTCAGGAATTACTCCTGGTGGTGCTTGGGGGACATATGGGATGCTGGGAATCGAATCTAGGCCGGCTGCGTGCAATGCAAACGCCCTACCCACTGTGCCATCACTCCAGCCCCTGTACCTTTTGTTCCCCAAGGTTAATAATAGCTTAGTGATCTTGAACAAAGTCACATAATGGTGGAGACTTTCTTACATATTAACCTGTTTATCCATTTACCAATCATTAATACCCAGTCCTCAGACACAATCAGATACCTAGTCCAGCTCCGCAATCTCATAACCACTCCCACTTTAATGTCCACTTCCAAACCTTCCCAAAAGACTCAGGTCATGTGGTGCTAGGGACCCTTGTCTCCTGCATGCACAGCCTGACTCCTGCCTTGAACTATCTCCCCAGGCCCCTAGTTCTGGTTTTTAAGGGGCTCCCATCTGGCAAATGCTCAGGGGTTATTCCTGGCTCTATGCTCAAGGGTCACTCTTGGTGGTGCTTGGGGATCAGATGTGGTACGAGGGATCAACTTAGGGCCAGCCATGCACAAGGCAAGTGCCTTAACCCCTGCACGACCTCTTTCGGGCCCCTACCTGGTGGCCTTTAAAAGCATTCCTCCCATCCTCCCAGGATGGGAGATGCGTGCTGAGAGTAGACTCTAGACCGATCATGATTGCCACTCAATGCCTCTTTTGCAAACCACAGCACCCAAAAGGAGAGAGAGGAAAAAAGGGAATGCCTTGCCACAGAGGCAGGGTGGGATGGGGGGGATAGGGGATGGGAGGGATACTAGGATCAGTGGTGGTGGAGAATGGGTACGGGTGAAGGGATGGGTATTCATTAACTGTATAACTGAACTGTACCTCATGGTATTTCACTAATAAAAATTAAAAAATAAATAAGTAAATAAATATAAAAGCATTCCTCCCAGCCATACCTCCGAAGAAACACACGCCTCCACTTTGAAAGACATGCTTCAAACCCGTACACATATGAAAGGATACAAAAGCTCCTACTACAAATGTTGGATTAAAGACGTGGTTTTGGAAGGTGAACAGCGTCAGGCCCATGTAGGAGAAGATAAAATTCTCTGCCAGGAAATTGAGAAGCTCGAACAACTGCAATGAAAACACAAAAGGTTAGTCCGGGAAATAACTGATTCCTGATCTGCGAGCACACATTCCCAAGGCAATAAAATGTAGACACGTGAATGTGTGCTGTCAGCTACAGGCCCTGGCATTTATGAGTCAGAGGGCAGCAAATGTAGAGACTCCATTTCTACTCCAACAGTAAAAGCCAAAAACGTTCATCCCTTTCTTCCTTCATTTGACTTCCCTTCTCCAATCCCTGGATTTGGTTCTCCTTATCCTGCACCCCGCCCCAACCCCGTGAATCTTTCTTTTATGTGTGCTGCTAGGGATCGAACCCAGAGCCTCACACGAGCGGCATGTGCTCAGCCACTAAGCACCATCTCTGGCCACACTGATGTTTCTTTAGGAAAGTTCCATACTGTCCCTGCCACTGGCTTCTACCTATCAGCTTCCAGCACAATGTTGCCTAAGGCACCCTAGGTGTCTTTGTCACCCCCATTTCTACACCCACCTTACAGACCTCTCTAGAAATGGCAGTTTCAAGACACCCCTCTATAAGAGACGAGAGCTGACTCAACATGAGCTGGTTGAGGAGCCCCTCCGAGTGCTGGCTTGCCGTACGATTTCACTTTATACGTGGGCCTTAGCCCTCACGCAGTCTCCACGTTATGACTTTGTGCTGTGTCCCCTCCTGCCACCGGTCTGCCGACCTCCAACCTGTTCACAATCACTGCCTGGTCACCTATTTACTGTTTACTAGATCACAGCAAAAATTTATCCAGCGTTTACTGTGTGCTCAATACCTTGCTAAAGGCGCTAAGTACGTAATCTCATTTTTAATTTCCCCACAACTCTGTGAGATAGGTAGTACTATTTTCCTCATCTAAAACATGATCACAGGGCTAAAGAGATAGTACAATGGACAGGGTGTTTGCTTGCAGGTGGCTGACCTGGGTTCGATCCCCTGTGCCTCCCATGGTCCCCTGAGCCTATCACGAGCGATCCGGGAGTAAGCAGTGCTGGGCGCAGCCCCCCAAATAAACAAAAATATCAAAAATGAATACAAAATGACTCAAAGGAGATGTCAAAATTGAAGCACAGAGATATGATATAATTTTCCCCAGGTCACACAGCCACCAAGTTTTGGAACACCTGAGTGCCCAAATCTAATCCACCACACTGGGTAAACTTTTCCTGTGATGGACCAGACAGGAAATAGCTGAGGGCTTGCAGAATCTGTGATTCCTGTCACAACCTGCCAATGTGGCGTGAAAGCAGCCACTCATCAGAGATGTCTTTCTAAAAAGTAGATGTGGCTTTGTGCCCGCCAAACTTTAATAGGTATCAAAATTCCAATTGCATCAACCATTCCTGTATCACAAACTCTCCTGTAATGCTTTCCACGCCCTTTATTTATTTATTTATTTTATTTATTTACTTATTTTTTGCTTTTTGGGTCTCACCCTGCGATGTACAGGGGTTCCTCCTGGCTCTGCACTCGGCAATTATTTCTGGCGGTGCTCAGGGGACTGTATGGGATGCTGGGAATCAAACCTGGCTCGGCCACATGCAAGGCAAACACTCTACCTGCTGTGCTCTCGCTCCAGCCCCTTTCCTCACCCTTTAGAAACGTGGCAAGCACTTAGCTGGCAGACCTCACGGAAGGGCCTGGTTCATACTCTGCCAAACTTGGTTCTCCACATTGCCTCCAGGTAACCAGGGGTAGTTAATCTGAAGCAATCTGAATGCCTCCATCTGTCTAGGTTTAGCATTTCCTCCACCATAGCTTCCTACCTCCTCAAGCCTCAAACTCCTTTCCCTCTCCTTAAACCTCTTGGATGAAATACAACGAGAAACACACAGCTGAAGGTTTGCAATAGTTGAGGAGTTTGTAATATGCACCAGCTTCACCTCACAATCAACACTGGAAACGGCTCCCCTGGGAGGTCTCTTTGCTTTCCCACTGCCCAGGAACATGCCAACCCTGGCTGACTTTCTTATTGCTGCACTGAGTTTACCTGTAACGTGGATCAGTGATTCCAACATATTTTGCAGGGTGTGTGTGTGGGGGGGGGATGGGCGACTATCTCTTGAAGGGAAACAGATAAGCCATACTCTAAAGATGCGGCTCTAGGGGCTGGAGTGATAGCACTGTGGGTAGGGCGTTTGCCTTGCACACAGCCGACCCAGGTTCGATTCCCAGCATCCCATATGGTCCCTGGAGCACCACCAGGAGGAATTCCTGAGTGCATGAGCCAGGAGTAATCCCTGTGCCCTTTCCAGGCTTCTCTCGCCATGTTCTGGTGCTCTGGCAAAACACAAGGCTTTCATTTGTAGGTAGAGTCAAAATCAAGTATGCATTCGTTTCTACTACAGGTTTCCCATTACTGTTCATGCCTCTGTCTCACAGACCTCCTAAGACTCAAAAATGCTGTGTCTATGGTGTTTCACTCATAAAAATTTAAGAAAAAAAATTTAAAAATTTGAAAAAATGCTGTGCCCATTTCTTTTACAATTCTTCCACCCACCACTGTGCAACTGCTCACTCAGGTACTGTGCGATGCCCAATGATACATGCGGTTGACACTCCCGGAAAAAGAGCAGTTTTGCAGGTCCTGAAGGAAGACTAAAGTTAATCTCCTATCACTGGACAGATCCAGTCAGAGTGGAGGTTAATCTTATTTGTATCAATGCAAAAAAAGGGTACACCTGAAAGATAGTTCTGGTTCACGTTCCTGTTCATATTCAATCTTATCTGTATCATGGCAAAAAATTGGTACACCTAAAAGATATTTCTGGTTCAGGTTCCTGTTCAGATTCCAGACCACTGCAACAGAGCAAGTGACAAGGATTTGGGGGCGGGATCCTCAATAGACATAAAAGTGAAGTTTGCAAGACAGACGCATGCAATAGGATTATGTTTGAAACTTCATGCACATTCTTTAATTTTATTGCTAAAAATACAAAGGAGATCTGAGACTTCACAGAGTTAGCTTTTTGCTGGTGGAGTCTGGTAAAAATCAAAACAACAAAAGGCAGACACTAGACACACAATAAAGCAATGCAAACAATATAGTTGTGCCTGCAGTTTTTTTAAAAATTAATTTTTCCTGTTTGAAACTTTATTTAAACACCATGATTTACAAAGTTGTTCATAATAGTCATTTCAGGTATTCAATATTGCAACACCAATCCCATCACCAGTATGATCTTTCCTCCACCAATGTTGTAAATTACTCACCCCAGCTTGTCCCTTTAGAAGATACCAAATACTTTATATTACTTGTTACAACGGGCTGGAGCGATAGCACAGCGGGTAGGGCGTTCGCCTTACAAGCGGCCAACATGGCCGACCCGAGTTCGATTCCTCCGCCCCTCTCGGAGAGCCTGGCAAGCTACCGAGAGTATCCGATATGCCAGACACAGTAACAACAAAGTCTCCAATGGAGACGTTACTGGGCCCGCTCGAGCAAATCGACGATCAACGGGAGGGCCTTTACCTTTACCTTTACTTGTTACAACATATAATGGGCTGGAGCGATAGCACAGCGGGTAGGGCATTTGCCTTGCATGCCGCCAACCCGGGCTCGATTCCTCCATCCCTCTCGGTGAGCCCGGCAAACTACTGAGAATATCTCACCCACACGTGTACCTGCAGTTTTAGTGAGCTTCCAGAAAGGTATTTTTCTGTGAGCTTCCAGAAAGGTATTTTTAAAAGCTATTACACAGAGAAAATGAGGAAGCTAATTGACTGACCAACACAATTACAGTCCTGAGCTAATCTGCTAATTCACAGATGCTCTAAAAGTCATCACCCTTGACCCTTTTAATTTCTCCATATTTGGAGTCAAAAAAATGATGTGAGAAAGCATTGGAGCAGATCAAATAACTTTTTGTAAGCAAAATAGCTATTCTGTTTTACTGTAAAATAAGAAAGTTCAGGTACAGGTGAGAGAGTATGAAGCTTAAGGCTGCTTAGCTAGAATGTGCTCGTGGCTTCTCCAAACCCTGATTTGATACCTGGCATCTCCTGGAGTGATCCCTGAGCACAGGACCAGGTATGAGCCCCGCCATGTACGGCCCCCAAACCTCCCCCCCAAAAAAGTTTATTCATTCACAAATGATTCCGTTTCTCTTACCTGTTTAGTTCTATGCTGAGACTCCGTAGACAAATTATTGTATGTGTAATGGGCCTGAGTGATGCCACAGAACAACACTGCAACCACACCTGTGAAGACAAAGTGTTCCAAATGTACCTACAGGGCGAATGCCCACTTTCATTCTCAGGGTCTTCATTTACAGAAGTACATAAAAATGCTAAATGTGAATATTTCTAGCTGTGACTTTCTATGCTGGGCTGGAGAGATAGCACAGCGAGAAAAGCGTTTGCCTTGCATGTGGCTGACATGGTCGACCCGAGTTCGATTCCTCCGCCCCTCTTGGAGAGTCCGGCAAGCTACCGAGAGTATCTCGCCCGCACGGCAAAGCCTGGTAAGCTACCCGTGACGTATTCAATATGCCAAACACAGTAACAAGTCTCGCAATGTTACTGGGCCCGCTTGAGCAAATCGATGAACAACGGGAGGATAGTGACAGTGACTTTCTATCTTAAAAGAAATCGCCTCCACTCCAAATCTTTTTCACATTCTCAAGTGACAGCATATGGCCCAGCCCTCACACCTGTGTTCAAACACTAATGGGGTGCATCCACTTGTAAGGGAAAAAAAAAACCAATCACGGGGAAAGAAAGAAACCAAGGGGATGAGTAAGAAAACAAGAAAGAGAAGTAAAAATGGAGCAGGTGGTTAGGGGCCTCAGGTCCAGGGTAATGTTGGGGAGAGGGGTAGCCCAAACTGCAAAGTCACTGATGCCGAAAACAGGGGATCCAAACTCCAACGGCGCAACTGTAAAATGTGTCTGTTGAGGGGACAGGGTGGAGGGAAGCTAGGGACATTAGTGGAGGGAAGATCACACTGGTTGGGGGACTGGTGCTACAGCATGATGTCATCTAAAACTCAACTATCAATAACTCACGGTTCTTCAAAAACAACATCCAACTGCACTCGTTGGTGGAATAGAAAATAACAAAATGGGAGACTAACACCCAAGGATAGTAGAGATAAGGATCCGGAGGAGTGCTCCACGGCTTGGAAGCCGGCCTCACATGCTGGGCAGCTCAGATGCTTGGAGGGCCCGCTCGGGATGGGAGATGTGTGCCAAAAGTAGACTATAGACTGAACAGGATGGCCACTTAATACCTGCACTGCAGACCACAACACCCTAAACGAGAGAGAGAGAGAGTAAAAGGGAATCCACCTGCCACAGAGGCGGAGTGGGGGGAGGGAATGGGGGATGGTGGGAGGGATACTGGGAATATTGGTGGTGGAGAATGGGCACTGGTAGAGGGATGGGTACTCGATCATGGTATGACTGAATTGTAAGCACGAAAGTTTGTAAGTCTGTATCTCACGGTGATTCATTAAAAAATGAAAAAAATAATTAATTAAAAGTCCAAAAGACTGGTCATGTGCTTGCTGTCGAAGGGTGCACCTACCCGTGAAGCCCCAGGCCTCGGCCAGGAGGAAGGTACTCCAGGACATCAAGAAGAACAGGCCGGTCTCCAACAGCTGGAACTCACGCAACTTGGTGAACTTGGTCACGTGAGACTGTCAAGGCTGGTAACAGGATCTTGTGAAAATCCACAAATGTGACTGAGACAAAGAACTGTCTCAGCAAGGCAGCCATGAGAGTGAGCCAAGGGTTCTCCAGCCACACCTAAGGATAGTAGATACACGGGACAGGAGGATTGCACCATAGCTGGAAGCCTGCCTAGTGAGCAGAGGGGAGAAGGCAACTGGGATAGAGAAGGGATCACTAAGAGAATGACGGCTGGAGGAACCGGTCGGGATGGGAGATGTGTGCCAAAAGTAGATAATGGACCAAACATGATGCCCTCTCAGGGTCTGTATTGCAAACCATAATGCCCAAAAGTAGAGAGAGATTATGGAGAATACTGTCTGCCATGGAGGCAAGGGGAGGGTGGGAAAGGGGGTTTAGACCAGGGATATTGGTGGTGGGGGATATGCACTGGTGGAGGGATGGGTGTTTGATCATTGTGTGATTGTAACCCAAACATGAAAGTAACTATCTCACGTTGATTCAATAAAAATAAAATTAAAAAAAAAAAACAAAAATAGGAGTTCTCCAGCCTCTCCGAGCCAGAGGCACAGAATACGGAGGCAGCAGCGGCAGGAAACTCAGCCATGCATTGGGCAGGGCAGGCTCGCCAGCTCAGGGCATCCGTGTTTGAGGGTTAGCCCAGACCTCACCAGAAACCACGGAGCCCAGGCAACGCAGAACTGGGAGCCACGGTGGAGGCATACAAGGTGTCACACCTCGAGAGCAACTTTGTAATGACAATCTGGTGTGCCGCAGGCGATTTCCGGTTTGTTTGGTCAGCTCGCCACTGACCTGTCCAGCTTTCCAAGAGAAGGAAACTGAGATGCGGCACTGGCTTACACTAGTTTCAACAGCAATCATCTCTCAGTTTCCAGAGGAAAGGTCTGGGTCAAGTTGTAATGCACAGCTGAAAATCTGAAATCTTGACTGAAATCTCGACTCCTTTCCAGAACTGTGTACTGTAACAGACAAATGAGCAGATACAGCTCCTACCCTCAAGGAACTTGGAATGAGGAAGAGAGAAACATTAGCTACCCTGGCTCTTTTTTTTTTCTTTCCAAGTCACACTCAGCGATGCACAACGAGGTTACTCCTGGCTCATGCACTCAGAAATTATTCCTGGCGGTGCTTGGGGGACCATATGGGATGCTGGGAATCGAACCCAGCTCGGCCGCATGCAAGGCAAACAAACGCCCTACCCGCTGTGCTATCGCTCCAGCCCTTGCACTGGCTTTTTTGTAACATTTACTACCTCTTCCTGCCTCAGTTCATCCACACAATGTCATAACGCAAGTTTCTTCCAGCCCAAGATGGAGTAAAGCAAACTTGGAGACTTCTGGGGGAAAAAAAACCCACTTTGCTTAATGTTAAAGTCTTTCCAAAAGTTTTAGGAGGCTGGAGAATACAGAGGGTAAGGCGACTGCCTCGCATGTGGCCAGCAAGCATTTGATCCTCTATGGCCTGCCAAACAATGCCAGGAGTGATCCCTGAGCACAGAGTCAAAAGTACCCCTGAGCACCGCTGGGTGTGACCCAGTCCCCTCCCCCCAAAAAAACAAAATAAAAAAATTAAGTAAGAGAAGTTTTCGCTGGAAGCTCTTCAGAGATGATCTACTCCAAATCTTCTTAAACTGGGGTTGGAAAAATAGTCCAGAGCTTCAGGCACTTGCCTCGCAAGCATTTAATGCTGGTCCTCCCTAGCATCATGTACGGTCCCCTAAGCCCTCCCAGGAGTGATCCCTGGATGCAGAACCAGGAGGAAGCCCTGAACCCAGCTGGGTGTGGCCTGACCACCACCCCAGCCCCCAGTAAACCTGCTCAAATTGTAGGCCTCAACACCCTTATGGGGGCGCATCACTGAATATGAGAGTTGCAAAGAAATCTGTTCTAAATTTCCTTATGATTTATTATCAGTGTCTGATTTGTATGATGATTTTATATACCTATATATCCAGGCTGGGGCGACAGCACAGTGGTAGGGCATTTGCCTTGCATGCAGCCAGCCCAGCTGAGCCAGGTTCGATTCCTCCGCCCCTCTCAGATTGCCCGGCAAGCTCCCGAGAGTATCTCACCCGTACGGCAAATCCTGGCAAGCTACCCGTGGCATATTCAAGATGCCAAACACAGTAACAACAAGTCTCACGATGGAGATGTTACTGGGCTTGCTTGAGCAAATGGGAGGACAGTGATAAGAGTTCTTGGGTGAAATGGGTTTCAGATAGAACAGGAAGCTGTGATCCTTCTAGGCACTGTGATTTGCAGCACTGCTACTGCGAAGGTACCGTGCACATCACTTTACTACCTTTCAGCATCCAGTTATCATCCAGGGGGACCACTTCCCTCTAACATTGTCACAGTGATCATGTCTGCCATAGAGGCAGGCTAGGGGGCTAGAGGGAAACTGGGGATATTAGAAATACGGGTGAAGGGATTAGTGCTGGAACATATTACACTCCATTCTCAATCATGAATAACTAACTCCTGTGACTGGATAAATTTTTTTAAAAGGAGCCCTTTAAAATTATTAAAAAGCTTAATTTCTATAATTAAATATTATAAATTTTAAATTTTATGTTAAATCACTGTATCAATGTCATCCCGTTGTTTGTCGATTTACTCAAGCGGGCGGCAGTAACGTCTCTATTTGTTCCAGTCCTGAGATTTTAGCAGCCTTTTCTTACTCATCTTTTTCAACAATTGGAGGCTATTTCAGGGTCAGGTAAATGAGACCTGTTATAGTTACTGGTTTGGGCATATCGAATACGCCATGGGGAGCTTGTCAGGCTTTGCCCAAGTGGGCAGGATACTCTCGGTAGCTTGCCGGGCTCTCAGAGTGGCATATAGATAGATAGATAGATAGATAGATAGATAGATAGATAGATAGATATAGTTGCCTACTGTCTGCACTCCATCAAACATGGTTTAGTAATTATGGAAAATGGGTAGGAAGTGTCTTATGTCCAGAAAGCAGCCTGGATCGTGGCGGTGGTTGGGTAGTGGAGGTCGGCTGCAGGGGCTGGGTCCCTTGGGGTGGGGAGGGCTCTCGCCCGCCCCCCTCTGGGGCGCCCTAAGTGAAAACAGCCTGGTGCAGAGTCATTTATGTTAAATAAATGTTTAAAAACATTTGAGCACGTTGTGTTTCCCAAAGGGGGCGATACTGCCCCCTTGTGGGCAAAGCAGGAGCCTCGGATGTTACTGGCAGGGATACTTTGCTCTCTAAGCAAGTCCACTGCAAGGAGAGTGGTGCAGAGTGACTGTTTCCTGAAAAGGGGGCAGTGGGTCAGAGTCCTTTGGGAACCTCTGATCTAGTGTCACTCATCATCCCCTGCTGTCCCCTCCACTGGGCTTTACGGGAGTCCCAGGAGATGAAGGCTCAACACGTCTACACTGCAAGTGTCAGGAGGCCTTCTTTATCTCTGAAACCCAGAGCACAGCATCTGGCATCAGCTAGTGATTTACAGGCGGCTGAAGACATACAGGAGAGGTCTGGACTCACTCTTCAGCACCCCATATGGTGCTGAGTCCGCCAAGAGTGATTCCTGAGTGCAGAGCCAGGAGGAAGCCCTGAACACCACTGGGTGTGGAGGAGAAAAAAAAAGAAGAATGACTTGCCTAAATATTTCTACTAATGAAATAATACAGCACCAGGACTACAATCTGGATCCTCTGAAATCTCAGTCCCAGGCTCTAGACGAGAAGGTTAAAATCAGTGAGGATCAAGATGAACTCTCATCTACCTTGATCCTAAAACCATATCTCGTGCAAAAGGCATCACGGTCATACATTCCCTATGTGTCCAGCTGAGCAGAGTAGAATGCTGGTGTGCTGAGCTGAAGCACAGAATTCCTAATTGACTCTATTCTCAATATCTTTCTATAAACTTAGTCAACAACCACCAAATTGAACTCCACTGGGTCACTGCGTCTAATCAGACTTATAACAAAAAGTCTGAGGGCACGGAGCCCTGTGCAAAACGGGAGTCTGTTCTGTGCTCACCGGTAAAGAGAGTAGCTCGATGTTCTCACATCCCGTCTTTGATTATAGGGCTAATAATTAATTACAACCCAGAGCATCCCAACCTGCAATGTGGTTTCAGTCCTTCCTTTGTCCTCGCTCTCTCTCCCCTCCGTTTTTCGAACTGAAAATGTTTTACTTCAAAAAATAATTACGGCCCACTCCAACTGTGGAGCTCGTTCCAATTAAGACCACTGCACATAGTGTTCAATGGCTTTGTGGAGGTTATTTTAAAGAGAAAAGACAGGAATGTTCAAAGGATATTAAAGCAGTCACCACTCCAGTAGCAGCACCCATGGCGAAAGATCCACTGAAGATCCCGAGGAAAATGCCAATAGACTTGAACATGGCTGTGACATCAAAGGTGTGGCTGTTGTCTCCTGCTGGCTGGTACGCCACTATGGAACTAGAAAAGAGAGATTTGCTTGATCTTGGTGCACCTCTTCCTTTCAGAATATCAACACACACACACACACACACACACACACACAAAAACACTCAAAAATCTTATTTACAAAGACAATCATAAACGAAGTACAGACATTTCCCAGTGTAGAAGAACCAGGAAGATAAACTCTGCGGCGGGGGTGGGGGTGGGGGTGGGGACGGGGGGGGGGGGTGGAGGTGGGGGAGAAAAAACAAACTTGAGGGTTTGAATTGGTCAAAAATAAGGGCATAAGGTTACCTCCCACAAAGAAAAAAAATTCAAAAGAAACCCTGCAGTGGCTCCAGCTAGCAAGAGAACTAAGCTTTTACTTAAGTGCCAATTTTCGGGAGGTAGAACGTTTGAATGTTCTCTGCAGGAAAGCTGGGCTGGAGTCTTTCCCACCCTTTGCAGAGACATTGTGTGCAACCCGTCTTTTGTGACTCTGCTTAAGAGTTACACATAATGAGTGCTGGAAAGTCCAAACATAGGAATGTGAACAAACTAATGAGCAATTACACTTATTTCCAACAGAAGATTAAGACTATAAAGAACATTGTTCAATACGTTTGGCTTTTCCTATGGTGGGGGTGCGGGGGGCGGGGGAGGAGATACGTGAAGTGCCCTTTTCAATTTTCAGAACATCAGAATGGGTCCGATGCCGAACATCTATTCATCCGGTGAAATGGACTTCTAGATGAAAAGGACATGAAAAGCTTTGCAAAGAATTAGAATCCACTCAACGGTTCATTTAGGGCACCCAGCTGGCGCTTGAAGGAAAGTCACTCTGTGAGCAGCCAGGATAGGTGAATGACACTGGACATCTGGAACTCAGAGACCAAACCTGGTTGAAAATTCTTCCTTTAAAACACACACACACACACACACACACACATCCCTTTAAGAAAACAGGAATGGCTAAAAAAAATCTGTTGTTGCCAGAAGTCCTGAATACAAAGCACGTCAAAGCAAAGGAGCAGGAGAAACGCATTCCTCATTAATAATAACGAATTCTCCCCTGGTTAGTGCAATGTTTCAGAGAGTTAGGGATTTTTAAAAAATGGGCTTGTTATTCCATGGACACCTCATATTGTCTTACTTTCTGGTAAAGCTAAATAACCAAAAAGACCTAAGATGAAACTAAAATTTCCCAAGTTTAGGATATTTTTATGTACCATGAGAATTACTTGAAGATCCATGACTTGAGTACACACCACAGGATTTGACCAGGATCTGCTTGAGCAGCAATTTAATTAAGCCAATTCTAAATAGAGAAAACCTATCCTAAACTCCTTTATCTCAAATGTATAAAGTCTAAACATGAACACTGGATTTTCACACCTCAGTATGTGGATACACAAATAAAAAGTCATACTTTGCACAGTAATTCAATATATAGCTTTAAGTTGTTCGTCTTTTATGAAATGAAACTTATCAGACTCCCTACTAAGTTCAACTATTCAAATCTGTGCTTCTCTCTAGATTCGACTAGGAGAAAGGATAGAAGGATCGATATCCCGCCCCCGCCCCCGCCCCGTGCCTCAAAGATGCACTGAAGCCAAATCAGAGAATATGAAGCAGATCCATAGGTAATATACACTGGTGGCTATCAGAATGATCATGAATCTGGGACTAGAGCAATAGCACAGTGGGTAGGGCATTTGCCTTGCATGCGACTGACCCGAGTTCGATTCCCAGCATCCCATATAGTCCCTGCCAGGAGTAATTCCTGAGTGCAGAGCCAGGAATAACCCCTGTGCATCGCTGGATGTGACCCAAAAAGAAAAAGCAAAAAAAACAGAATGATCGGGAATCTTAACAAAGGGTTAAGAAAGCAGTGGAAATTGGAGAAAATACAGAAAAGCTGCAAGCGCTATCCTCATAATCTGATCATATTGAAACAGGAAATTTCTGGGGCCGGAGCAATAGCACAGTGAAGAGGGCATTTGTCTTGCATTCAGACAACCTGGACAACCTGGGTTCAATCCCTGGCATCCCATATGGTCCCCTGAAGTCATTTCTGAGTGCAGAGCCAGAAGTAACTCCTGAGCATCGCTGGGTGTAAGCCAAAAAGCCAAAAAAAAAAAAAAAAACCAGAAAATTTCTGGTTCTGAGGGTTTGAAACTTGAATGGAAAGGCTCATCCTCAGAATAACAACAGCTGGTACTTTATTGCTGCCATCTTGAGAAAGTTTCCACTTGCTGGGGAAATAGAGGCATACTCTGAATGCTCAGTGTCTCCATTTCTCAACTGAATGCAAAGGGGACTGATTCACTTGGATGACTCAGAGTGGCATCAATGTCATCACCGAGGGGCTTTCAGAGTGGACAGCCCACAACACATGTCCTAGAATGTACAAGTAACAGGTGAGAATCACAAAGAAACAGGATAGCTAGCTAAGCAGCTCAATAATTAGGTGAAACCAACTCTTAAAAACTTCCAAAAACTCATCCTGACTTGCTAAGGGTCAGGACCTCAGGTCACTGATAGAGGGACACTGACATCATAGTTTTAGGTGTTATTATTTTTTCACTCTTGATGCTAAATATAATGATGTATCATAAATTTAAAGTTTTCTTCCCTAAAGAACAAGTCATTTGCAAGTATTTTTTTAAAACTCCTATATGATTACACAGTTTGAAAAGTCACATTTGAAAGAAGTGTGATTTACATATAAGGGATGTTTACTGTTGTTTTTTTTTCAAATCACTGTAAAACCAATGTTACTCTTTCAGCTTATGTAGGATGATGCTTAATATGTCTTATTATGAACATTAGGGATTAATTGAAGGATAAGTTTCATTTTCAGAAACTCTGATACCTGCTTGGAGGAGTGAACATTTTTTTTAAAAAAAATGCTTAAACATTTACTTTATTAGAATTAAGTTCATTCACCAGCCATGATCCAGAGAGTCATAAATCTCCAAATAGAACAACAAGTTGCAAAATTCTTCCAGACTCCATGCAAGGCTGAGTGTTAAGGGCACCCTGGAGGCAAGGAGGAGGGGTGAGTTCAGCCCCCACCCAAAAAGAGCCCAGGCAGCCAAAAACCTCCACACTCCATAATTGCCAACATGCTCCCGGCCAGACTCCACTGCATGGGACAAGCCTCATCCAGAAATTAATCTGTTGAAAAACTCAGGTATGCAGGTTTTGTGACTGAAACCTCCAGGTTTTCATGGAATGAGCTACTTCTCCGCATCTCCCTGTACTTCCAGAAGCCCCAGTAGTCACACACACACGTCCCCAAACAGCCACCCAGTCAAAAATTTAACTCCCCGTTAAAAATTTTGGACTTCCTGGAACATGACTACAACACTGATAAACCAGGAGTAGCACAGGAGATTGGATAGGATGTAATGTAGAAGACAACCAATATTGATTAACAAAATATAAACACAGAGGTTTAACCTGTGATATCTATAGGCTTCATCCGAACATGTGGAACCGTGATACCTATAGGCTTCATCCGAACATGTGGAACCGGCAGAGGAACCCAGGTATGCGGGACCCGGGGCGTAGATCTCCAAGCCTGCTCAGATTGGGACTGGGGCCTCCTCCACCCAGATCTCCCATCTTCCAGGCGTTACACCCACCAACTGCCCCTGGCGCCGTGTAATCCCATCAACAGCCAAGACCCAGAGATTATAAAACCCTGCTCCCGGAAGCACGCGGTCTAGGTCTTACTCTGAAAAACCTGGCAGGCTACCAAAAGTATCCTGCCCACATGGCAGAGTCTGGAAAACTCCCCGTGGCGTATTCAATATGCCAACAACCAGTAACAATGATGGGTCTCATTCTCCTGACCCTGAAAGAGCCTCGAATGTGGCACCTTTTAAAATCTCAGGGCTAGGACGAAGGAGACGTTACTGGAGCCTGCTCGAGGCAATCGATGACCAACAGGATGACAGTTGATACAGTTATCTATAGGCTTAATCGTTTAATCTTTTATGGACTTAATGGCTCCATAGTAAGATACAACAATCCTCACTAACTTTCTTCTAAGGAAACATTTTTTGATCATTCTGTTAGCAAATTATTGATAATAAGCAATATAGCACTGTAGCACTGTAGCACTGTCCTCCCATTGTTCATCAATTTGCTCTAACGGGCACCAGAAATGTATCCATTGTGAGACTTCTTGTTACAGTTTTTGGCATATTGAATAGGTCACAGAGAGCTTGCCAGGCTCTGCCGTGCAGGCAGGATACTCTCGGTAGCTTGCTGGGCTCTCCAAGGGACAGAAGAACCAAACCTGGGTCGGCCACATGCAAGCCAAACAACCTACCCGCTGTGCTATTGCTCCAGCCCAATAAGCAATATAAAATAAATTATTGAGAGCCTGCTATGAAGACATGCATTAAGTGGTGGTTGGAAAAATTGGAGAGAATGGTGGAGGGAAGGTACAATGGTGGTGGGATTTGGTGTTGGAATACTGACTGCCTGTAACAAATCAGAATGAACAAGTTTGTAAACCCCAGTGTTTAAAACTTTTTAATTAGACAAATAAAGTTAAAAAATTATTTATTAAAGTATCATGAAACACTGTATGTCTAAAACTCAACTATGAAAAGGATTTTTAATTTTTTTGTTTAATAAAATAGTTTAGTTCAGAAAAATAAAAGGAGAGCTGCTGGGGTGAGGGGGAGGAGAAAATATACATCTCCTTGTCACAACTTGTGGGCAGCAGAGAATATACCGAAAGTTTCTTTGTTTCAGTGAAGTCTGGCAGTAACATCCATTTCTAGAAATAGCATCGAGACATTTCTGAGACCCAATCTAAATGTGAAATTTTAACCGTTATGTGGAAATGTTCACAAAGTGACAAGAATAGTCGGGTGCCAGCATATTCAACATTTCTTTAATAAATATACAATGCCCTGGGGCTGAAGTGATAGCACAGCGGGTAGGGGGTTTGCCTTGCACGCAGCCAACATGACGGATATAGGTTCGATTCCCAGCACCCCATATGGTCCCCTGAG